TAGTTTTAATTTATATAAATTTAACTAAATTTTATTAGATAAGTAAATTAGAATTAAAATTAATAAATAAATAAATTTGAATAAGTTAGCTCTTTTTTATATAGAGATTAATTATTAGTATCTAATATTAATTTAAAATTAGATAGAAAATAATAGTAGTCTTTTTAAAATTACTATTCATTATATCTAATATATTTAGAGTAGTTAATAAAGTTATTCTTTTATTATTAGTATACTAATAGCTGATAAGCGGCTCCTTTACCATCTTTCCTACCGCTAATCGGTAGGTTGGCAGAATAGCAGACAACCACAACACTAATGTTATATACTTCTATTTACTTCTATTCTGCTGTAGTTGACCGCCTACCGCGGTATATCCGCGCCCTCACGGTGCACTTAATGAAAGGAACAACTTACTTCCACATAACACAACTAGTATATACTACCTTGCAAGTGCATAAGATTGGCCGTCAAGTCACATGACCAGGACCCCACTTATTCGATCACTTTTGCAACATGTCTCTGTACAGCTGACCAAATTCATACAAGGAAAAGATATACGAACATACCTGTAGGGATCAGCACAATCTTTTCACACCCATCCTCTGTATGTGTTATCATGACAAAAGTGGGGGTCGGTAAGACCTTAGTAAATACAGGACATAGTCATGCGATCCTCATGTGACAGGTATTCTATAAAATTAGCTAATGTTGTTAAATTAATACATGGAACCACAGTATAGGCCATAATCCAATGGCAGTAAAATGAATACCCCCGCATTTTCCTCAACAGGATCGAAAGTCTGCTGTATATCAGACACGTGGTTTGCAAATGTATAGACAAGATAACTCGATATCAAGTTCCGAGACAACCCATCTATGCAGGGAAAGGAAGTGATGAAGGGGGAAAGTAAAAATAAATGAACAAGATCGAGGAGGCGGCTAATAATTGCGAAACAACTATTACTGGTCCTTCCTAGCGTCGCCTGCAGCCTTGTTCTCCCTCCGTCGTTTGATTGCCTCTGGGCTGTACTCAGTATCCAGAAGATAATCCCACCACCTGAAGCTGCTAGAATAGTTACCGACAAATTTCTCGTGGTGAAGATCATGGTGGTCAGCGCCCGCCCAGAATGGCAGGAAATGATGGAGACTCCAAGGGAATTCATAACCGCTGTGTGCGTCGATAGCTTGGAACAACCGCAGTACAATCCAAACGTACATTGTGAAAATGTGCAGGTCACCGGTTACTGCGCACCAGAGGATTGGGCAGCCGACAGTACCGAAACCGAGAATCATAACTTCGATTGGAGAAGCATATTCAGCTGCCATGCCAAAGGGGGCCGAATATTGGTGGTGGATCTTGTGAATGGCCTTGTAGAGGGGACCCCAATGAAGTGCTCGGTGCGAGAAGTAGTGCCATGTATCCTCAAGCACGAAGAAGATCGCAATTTGGTAGGCCATTGTCCAAAAGGTAGGGAAAGGAACTGATGTCGAAAGGCCAAAGAATTGAGCCATGGGATGGAATAGCCTGACGACAATATTGTTAGGTGGAAAACTAAAGCACTAAGGAAGATACACACCAGATCTGAGGTAGTTCAACTGTAAAATGGCTCAGTAGGACAAATTTCGCACAATCCCATTGCTCGCGCAATGACGGAATTTTATTCTGCCAACTAGTTAACGAAAGATCTCTTGAGCTGGAAGCAAGATGAACCTACACTTTGGATTTTATAACCCTTGAGCAGGCCCAGGCTGTCTATGAAGATCCAAGGCAGGGAGCGCCCGAAATAGACGATCTCGTGCATAACAAAAGACATGATGCCAGTCGCCAGGACGTCATTTTGCATCCAAGCATACCATGCTGTCCATAGCCTCTCGAGTACATTTAAATGGGTATTGTATTTGGAAATTTCTTCAAACTGGCCCCAGTAAGTCTCCGGGGGAGCCGACAATAGCGTCGAATTCCTTTATCGGGTCAATTTAGATATAAAACAACGATTGCAATGACAGAAGCTTACATTGTGTTTACAAACTTGTCCTCAAGGGGCGATTGTCTCGCTTGCAATTGTCTTACCAAGAAATACCAATGTGTATGGCTTTATCGAGGTGGAAAATAGGAGAAAAAGTAGGAAGGGAAGGATTGGTTGTAAGGGAGGAAGCACCGGTGAGAGACTTTCTCTGAAAGGGTCGGAACTTGAAGGGTGTGTGTGGGCGGTATTTCAGGGACAGGCCGGTGGTGGATAAAGCTGCGCGATCAAGGACCTCTAGTCCCGAGGTGGCGAGACCTTTTTTCTGCTGTTCCCCTTACCCAGCCTTGGCTTTTTCTGGCGCCACCGCCTAGCCGATTTGGACCGATACTGTGCTCCACAAAATGGGTCTCCACTGAATTGGCTGTTGTCCACTAAAATCATGTTTATTGTTATTTAATTCAGCGTACTTTGCTACCCCAAGCTCATCCTTATCTATTGTCTCTCCGACTTGAAGTTCAGTATCCTGAACCTAGGCTCCAAAGTAAACGTAGGGAATACAATTCTTAGCGGCCTTGCTAGTCTCACCTCAGCCTACTACCCATGCATGTTCTATGCAAACGTTACCAGATGGCTATTACCTAGGTATGCCAATTATTCATCTACCAAAACACGACTCCGCGTGCGAGTTAACCTACCAATCCCTGGATTGATGCAATCTGTTATAGAATTTATTCAAAACTATGTATCTCAGGAAATTTTAGTGCAGATTGGCGGGGTGATGGTTATCTCCGCTAGCAAGCCGCAATTCAGTCTGTATACCTCAAAGGAAAAGAAGCTCGGTTCTGAGGTTTTCAAGGATGATCACATATCCTACCTGCGCCACCGTACATATTTGCGGCGGTATTCCGACTAGATTTTGAGGCTTTGCTGCCAATCCAGCTAACAGATTGATAATGATACCCCCTGTTAGTCGAAGAGTGAGGCATGTCTCGAAGGCTGAGTTGACCACTCAAGTGTGCAACTTTTATACGATACATGCCAGTGCAGTGGCTGCCGTTAACGAGTCCTTTCCTCCTTGAGTTGCGTGATACTCGAGGTTGTATGTCTACTTAGTAGCGTGAAAGAAAAGATAGGTGTGCGGGCTATCGTGGCAATGAGTATCGCCCTGTAGATACACAGTTACTTCAATGATGCCATGTTCTATACGGGTTTTCCAGAAACGATGACAATTAAGGGGGTGGGGAATATTTAAGGACCTGTTAAGAAGGACCGCCTGCATTGTAAATACAACCATCGACTATGGAGTGAACTCGGTTAGGCACATTAGTACATTAAGCTTAGTTAGGAAGGGACTGCGCTAAGTCCGCAAGGCTTTTTTAATCCTAGTGTGGAATGCAAAAAGTTTGAAACCATCCGCTTGACCGCCCTACATATCGCCATATAACAACCCTACCAAATCCAGTGCTTTAACCTACAGACATCTATCTATACTTTGAATTATAGCCCCTAGGAGGGAGATAGATGCCAGTTATTGAGTTAAGTGACTTGTATGCTAAGTAGTCGGGCCTAGGGATGGAGTTTGCGAGGTTTCTGCCACGCAAAATAATCGAATTGGGAAGGCGGTTAGACCGGGCAATAAATGTATAGTTTCAAACTTGCATCCCACTATGTACTGTCGTTTAAGAGATTAGATTGGATAAGTATACCCATTTGATTTTGCTGTATATAATTAAATTACATTAAGTGCTGTAAATTGTATATAGAACAGGTAAGCCTATTGCCACTTAAAGGGTTCTATTGAAGGCCTATGGGCTTCTGAGGTCGCGAGTTCTGGAGTCTTGAAAATCTCTAATACTGTGTAGTTAGACACTTAGCCAAGTACGAGCCCGGAGGCCATTTGAGTTAACGCTAAGACAGGCCTTGGATACTAGGAATGCTTCTGAGTGCTCTGTACATATATATATATAGCTAGTTCAGTGCCTCTTTCATCAATTGGTATAGTTAGGCTATGGACACAATGTAAACAGAGTACTACTATTACTTGAAGTACTTTTTACTATACTTATTAGTTCTACCATGATGTAGGTAAATACCGTCTACTTCTTCTATGTAATAGACGCTTATAAGCCATGTATAGAGCGTGGACATACGGAGTATTAACAATACAGCGCTTGTTTTACCAAGTCCCCAAATTGAATTAAAAACAAAAAATCATGCCAAGAACCGATGATATTTACGGTACGGAGTACATACAGAATACATACAGAATACATACAGAATACATACGAAGTACATACGGAGTACAGAGTATTTCTTACATTGCTTAAGTCAGATTAATGGTGACATAATGACGCCATTCACACCTGCAATACAAGCATATTTCTTTATCCAAAGAAGCCCCCTTCTTTTCTCCGCACAACACGCTGTATCATAATTAGAGGGCAGACCATGTCGGTTATTAATGAGTACGCCAAAAGATGCATATTATTCCAAGGGCTATTTATCCATGCTAACGAACTGAAAGTGACATCTGCCGCTTAGATACCCAGCTGGATCAAATTAAGCAAGACATCAACGACTTGCACTTTACCTCACTGGAGACCCATAAACATACGCATGATCTGAACGCCTATACAAAGCACATATCTGATCTAGAAAATGTTATCAGCTCTCTCTCTGTACCTTCCAAGTTCCGACCGATGCTCCCCGTTGAGCACATTGTGAAATTGACTTTGAAGCTCTCCCGGTCCCCAGGTGAATCACATGGGCTGCTTTCGGATGCGTCCACGGACCGTGAACTAGAAGAACTCACGTGGCTGGCAGTTACGAAAGCTACTGTACAGACTTTAGGGGTGATCTTGAGGTCTCTCCTAGACCGGAGCCTGCTCCTCAGCGATGAAATCTCTTACTGGGACACAGTCCTGGGGTCTTATTGGCACATCGGTGTTTATACACTGCAAACATTACCTTTCCGGATATGGCACAGGTTGGCCAAGCCTCGCCCTAGCAGGAATGATAGTGGTGCCAAGGCAAAGTTTCCTACGCCTGCCTCAGTACGATGGACACATTTTTACGAGCCCATACAGAGATGCCTTTTTGCAGGAAACTTGCATGCTCTACCGGCGAACGTACTGTCACCGTTTGTAGCAGCCAGGTCTGAGATAAGGCGGAATCGAGAAAGGCTTAAATTAATGAAGGACCTCAATGCCCATGGTATCGGGCTCCTCATGAGAGAGTGTTTTCCTGCTCAAGCAAATGACGATAATTGTAACTTGACAAGGTGCATTACAGCCGATGATTACTGGCGTAAGACGGTATGTAGAAGTGCGACCTTGATGGAAATATTCCTGCAGAAATTGCCGAGTGACAGTGGTCTTCTTGATCATGGGGAAGATATCCTTTCGGCTGCTAACAAGGAGGTTGCGTGTCTCCAAACAGGGTCTGGTGGCAAACACTCCATTCGAGCACCTGAATTAGTCGCTAAGCAACTCCACGATATACTGCTTAGACTCCTTCCTGCCCACAACACCCTCGTATTGGCAACTATTGACAAGCACCGGCGCCCATCGCGTCTGGTGCGATACTGGCTTCCATTATCGATGCTTCTCCTAACAGCGAGCACCTCATTTAAGATACTGAAGAATCGTCGCCATCAGCTAATCAGATGGGTTGCCGGTGCCGTGGAAACTACAGTTGAATTTTGGAGCAATTGGGTTTTTGACCCAATTCAAAGGCTCATTGGAACTATAAGGCATGATGAGAAAAGCGAGATTGCCTTGATGAGCAAGAACAGCCTAGAGGCCGACCGGGCAAGCTTAGAACGGATGGTAGTCGACTTCATCCTTGATCGTGGCGAACCGAAGCCCGAAGATCATGTGCTTGATATCAGTTCTATCACAAACAAGGTTAGGGAGGGAGATTTAACACCAGTACTGAGAGCGTACGAAAAAGATCTACGGACCCCCTTTGTCGGAACTGTACGAGGTGATCTTGTACGAGCACTCTTGATCCAAATTCAGAAGACGAAGGTAGATGTCGAGATCGCAATTGGCGGTATTGACGCTTTACTGAAGAGCCAGGAACTCGTTTTCGGGTATATGCGTTATTCAATATATTGTAGTAGAATGGGCTAACGGTCGCAGATTTGTTGGCCTCACACCTGGTATCCTGGTCTCGTACGCGTCTCTTCGATGGTTCTGGGGTCTCTTTGGCAATAGAAAGGGTCTGAGAATGGGTAGGCGGCAGGATGAATTAAGGCATGCACTGCGGTATGTAGTATGTAATGGTGAAATGTGGGATGTGCTGACCTTAGGTAGGGCTACTCATCGAACGTTGATATCGCTTACCCCTGCACCTTCTGACGTGCTCGCATACAGAGATCATGGTCTTCTGATCTGTGACGCTGAAGTTTTGCTTCAGAAAGCAGAAGCTCTCCTAAGTGGGGCAGAGCTCCGCGCCTTTCGAGAAGATGTCGCTGACCTCATCAACCAGAAAATGGTTGTTCGGCAGCTTGAAATTGTTGGCAGAATGGGTTGGGTCTACTCGAAATGGATGCAATGATGGAGTTCTAGGGACACAATAGCCACATTTTTGGAGTTGCCCCCGGCGAACAGCCAAGAATCTCAAGCCGCTAATTGCGTTACTTTCAAGGGGCGAGAAGACCCTTTATGGTTTTGGGCCCAAGAGCATATTTAGTTGAAGAAATCCATAACCATTAATCCAGCGTGCCAACGTGTAGGTTCAACTTGGATCGCGATCGATCAGGGGGTTGATTAGCATAAAGACCTTTACAAGTTAGTGGTTAACACTCTCAGTTGAATGGCATCCTATCAGTACTTCCTAGCAAAAAGACCCGGACAGAGTACTGGCTTTGATACTGCTTGTTACCAGTGATGGCGCTTAATGGGGGATGATACAGAATAAGAGTATTGAATTAGTGTCATGCCGCCCGTGTATATTAGTAAGATCTTCCCTCAAGAGAACTATCTCTAGACCCCCAAATGCCCCAGTCTACAAATCAGTAGCCATGCAAATACTGTGATAGATTATAAAGGCCGGGGCCAAAGTACGTATTCTCAGAAATGCGATGGAAGTGTGGGCTATACGGCTTGTATGCACATACATACGTGTCGTATGTCCCTAGCCAGTTTAATACAGTACCAGACCTCAAGGCAAAGTTACAGTGAAAGTACCGGTCACTCCGCCTATACATACCCATATTATTGTTGTATCCCTAGCTGCTTACTTTAACTCCGTAAATCACCCATCCATTCATCCATCTAGGCACCATTTTGTGCCGCCACTCTCTATCTTTTCTGATAAATGTCAGAACGAGCGACACCTAAGATCCCGACCCCAGTATTTCAATATTCCAAGGTTGCATCTCCATAAATAGACCGCCTTCTTTACCGCGGGACGTGATCATAATTGCCCACCCTTTCCCCTGATAGCGTCCCGAGTCCCTCGATTTCTCTCTAGCCAGCAAGCCTACCTTGCCACCATTTGGTGGCTGCAGCTCTCCTGCAGAAGAATCACTGAAGTGGGAAGAGACTCAGAGCATCGATCGATAGCCTTTTCTTTTCTCTCTTGAAGGGTAAGAAAAGAATAAAGGACAGGGGGAAAGGTACTGCGGTGGTGCCAGAGAAACTGAGTTTCCCGACAATATCACCAGCCCTTCTGTCAAGAGCTACTATCGTGAGGCTTTTTTTTTTGGCGTAATTGACTTATTCCTCGCTCCCTCGATCTGCGTGGCTCAGACTAACGCTACCTGCGTCTACTCCATCATGGCTGGTACAAGAAACTATGATTTTCTGGTGAGAGTACCATTGTTCCCCTGGTGGGCAACAGGCTAACAGATGGCATTTAGATCAAACTTCTGTTGATCGGAGATTCTGGGGTGGGAAAATCATGTTGTTTGTTACGGTTCAGCGAAGATTCATTTACCCCGTCCTTCATCACGACCATTGGAATTGACTTCAAGATTCGTACAATCGAACTTGACGGAAAGCGTGTAAAGCTTCAAATATGGGATACAGCTGGACAGGAGCGCTTTAGAACGATTACAACGGCTTACTATAGAGGGGCAATGGGTATCCTTCTGGTCTATGATGTCACTGATGAGAGATCGTTTCAAAGTAAGGGCTTACTCTCCTGATTCTTGGTTAGAACGTTTTGGCAATGGCACTGACCCTGTTTCCCAGACATCCGCACATGGTTCTCAAACGTCGAGCAGCATGCAAGTGAAGGTGTCCATAAAATTCTCATCGGAAATAAATGTGACTGGGAAGAGAAGAGAGCCGTGTCAACTGAACAGGGCCAGCAGCTAGCTGATGAGCTTGGAATACCCTTCCTTGAAGTGTCAGCAAAGAACAATATCAATATCGAGAAAGCCTTCTACAATCTTGCCTCGGAAATTAAGAAAGGCATGGACACATCTAAAACTGAACAGCCTGGTTCGCAAGGTGTCAGCATAGATCAGCAAGGCCCGGGACTGAATGGCAATACAGGAGGCAAATGTTGCTGATGGGCTTGATAGTATATTCTCCGGCTTTGACCTCTTTGATCCACCTTACAAACTTACTTTTTTTCTCCCTAAACTCCGACAAACAGCTATTCTGTCATGAACTCGAACAAGAACAAGTTAGGGTTTTTAAGCTCCAGTGGACGCTGAGAGGCCTAATCTTTATGCGGAACAGCCTTCATGTATGTCCAAATTGCGGCCGTGGGGCAGGCCGCCGTTCTGTTACGGTCGTTCGAAGTATGTTTGGTGGCATTGTTTAATCTAGTGTTACGCTATACTGGGTATTTGTGTTACAGGAAGTGACTTGCATGTTGCCATCGGGTATCAGCATAATACACCACGTATTTTGATTTGGCAGAAGGTGCAAGAATGTGCGCTGAAAATGAAAGCATCCTTTGTTGTGTATAGCTTATTGCCTGATGAATGGTGAAGAAAAGAGGGAACAAAGTAGCCACTAGTCCTTCAATTAAGACCGACAATTATGACGATGTGAAGAGAAGGGTTATGTATAATATCCCTTACAAACTGATTTGCCCTAGAGTTCAATGCTGGTTTCTAGGGAACGTTATGCAACAATGACAAGGTCTCACAGTATAGCATAACATTTTTATCGGAAAATGCACTCCGCTTTCACATGTGGACTGGGTACATGGAGATCTTCATTTCCAAGCTTTGGAAGCGGCTTCTGGTGCCAGACGCGAGCGAAACGAGCAGCCTCAAAGGAAGTGAGGAAATTAACGCGCCACATTCTCATGAAATTGAAGGTTGACTGACTTAGACTGCCCGTACCCTCGAGATTTATTTGGGATAATCCTAACACAGTTGTCGGCTCTATTTGAATAACGGCGTCGTCTGTTTCTGGTAAAGCCCATCTTCGGCCCCTCATAATACCATCTAGCTTAAGAAGCTTTCTGATATGATGTGAGTCCAAAGAAGGAAAAGAGACGTAATTCAATTGTAGTTTCACAGGGAAGAGCTTGTTTCCCGAGGATCCTGGTTGGCGCAGTCCTCTGTGGATCCCAATTGTGCGCTGTAACTTGAAATCGAACGGGAATAGCTGTGCTGCTACAGAAACATTACGTAGTGTTGAACCAAGTGCATAGTTAAAGTGCTCGCCATGTTTGACCCTGCCATTCGTGGATGCTTCGGTTGGCCTATCCAATGTTGTCGTTGTAGTAGGAGCCACTTGCCTAAGATAGAGTTCTTGCAACTCTATGACCCTTTGTTGATATTCCACGGCATAGGCCGGAGAGGTAAAGATTAGGAGCCAAGAATCGGAGCGTTGGAGCGTTTGACGATCCCGTATAGGTAGGACTGAATTCTTATTAGTAAAAGCAACTCGCACGTTCTATCCTCGTATGTATGGATACACCTTCTTCTAGCCCCTTCAAGCTATAGTCTTTAGATTTTAGCATCCTACGAAAGTCATAGTGAGTCAATGATAGACTCGCTCCCGAAAGTACGAGCGCTGTTCTATGGCCTCGACGACTGCGTTCGCTTGATGTTATCTCCAGCTGCCCACGTTCAATGGTAACACCACAGTCCTCTATTCCCATTACAATGTCCGCGATGCGTGGCGTGCTCGGTTGGTTTGTTCCTGAGACATCTTGAAGTTTCCCTGGTTTCTTGGCGGTGGAAATATTTCTTGTAGACACTCCTGAGCTAAGAAGAGAAGTAAATTTTTGAGATAGCTTTGGTGACTCCCAAAGTTGTGATATTAGTCGGCGTGTTGTGGATGCCCATAAATGCCTTCGTCGGCTATAGAACATAACGATGAACTTCAGGTGGAATTTGATGATGGTTATGTTGTTCTAAGCAGGTGAGAAAGAGAGGGGTAAGACCGACATTAGGCAAGGGGACGGTGCTGGACTTGTTTGGATAGATGGAAGCTGTACGAAGTGGTGGATGTTAGTATCATCTTATAGCTTGAAAATCTATGATTAGATAAATGGGTTAGATCTTGGCCTCTTAAGGATTTATAAAGGTACGGGTCAGTGCGGGGCGCTGATCTAAATCCGCGTCCGTATGTTAGATAAAAAAAAAAAAAAGTGAGGACGAATTATGAACCACTTGTGGATTCTACATTACCCTTCCGCCCTTAAATATTCACGCCGAAAATCTTCTTCCTACTTCTCTTATTACTATTCATTTATCCCTCTTAATGGTTCCTTCTCTGACTTCAAAGCAGCTCAACATCGTTGTGTAGTGAAGACGCATTGCAATGCATGCAGTATAGAGTGTCCAGTCATATCCGCTACCAGAATACCTGATACGGGTGTTGGCCACAGTTTACATCTTGCAACGTTGTATATAGTCTGATATCTCTCTTACGGACATTATTTGGTCAAGCCTGTACGAAATGTCGGAACCCCGCCTTTTCACAGTTCGACCGCTTTCTAAACAAGCGAGAAATGACCATAAAGATGCGTTTCGCGTTTATTTATCATCGTCGTCGTTGGCTGCCCTAAAGCTTCGGGCTGGGGATGCTTGTACCCTGAACTACTCTGGCGAATGTGCGAAGACTGCAATAGCTTGGAGCGCAACCGAAAACATACAAACTACGGTCGTACAGACCTCAAGGACACTTCAGGACTGCTACGGCGTCAAACTTGGCGAGAAGGTGTCTATTTCCAAACCCGATGGGCCTTTGGGAGAGATTGAATCAGTTTCTTTTGTGGAATGCTCTGATATCGAACGAATGACGAGATATGGCCCCCTCCCGCCATCGGAAAGGCACCACTGGGCCTGGGCTTTGGAGTTTCCTCTTGCTAGATGTGATGCTCTCGCTGTTGGATTGATTTTTGATTTAGAGCTTAAGGGTCAACGAAGAAGCTTCAAAGTAGCAACCATGCGGGCCTTGGATCAAACCACCCATACCACATTACTACGGTTCACTGAGAATTCCAAAATCTTGATTGGCGATGATTCAGATGAAGAGAAGGGAGTCCAAGGCTTTGTTATAAAAGTACAGTCATCGGGCCTGGGTGGAATGGGCCGCCAGATTGATAGTATTAATGAAAGCCTTGCTGATTTCAACATTGGCTCAGGGATGGTGGCAATGCCTGCTTTCTATGAGCACAGTCGGGGCGTTCTTCTTTATGGACCAAAGGGGACAGGTAAAACTGCTCTTCTTCGCCAAATACAAGGTGCTGGTTGGCGAAAAGCATTCAACATTGGGTCTTCCACATTCAGCAGGAATATTGGCGATGGTGAAGCTAAGCTACGCAAGCTGTTTCAAGATGCAGTTCGTTGTCAGCCGAGTGTTGTGGTCATCGATCAACTGGACTTCATTGCTCCTAAACGGACATCGCTGGATTCCCAGTCTTTGACATCTGTTCTTTGTGAATGTTTGGACCTTGCGAGAGGTGCTATGGTTCTTGTTGTAGCTGCAACTCGACACCCCAACGAAGTCGATGATGCTTTGAGGACGCCACATCGATTGGCGACAGAGATTGAACTACACATTCCTACAGCCTATGACCGAGCCGAAATCCTGCGCGCTATATGCGGATATCAGTCTCCCGTGCTGAGTGACAGGCTCATAGATATGATGGCGGAGAAGACTCACGGCTATGTCGGAGCTGATTTGTTCGCGTTACTTCAGCTTGTTTGTCGCAAGGCGCGCCAGAGACAGATCAGAGAGGCTCACTCGAATAGTTTGCCTTTACGCCAAGCTTCTATGTTTACCAGCGACTCAAGTGATGACTTGGCCACAAAAGAAACTGCGCCTTTAGAAGTCCAGGAGGCCGACGTATTAACGGCTCTACAGGAAACCCGCCCCACTGCGATGCGGGAGGTATTCCTGGAGACACCAAAAGTGAGATGGTCGGACATTGGTGGGCAGCATGATATCAAACGGCGTCTTCAAAAGGCCGTTGAGAGGCCATTGAAAGTGAGTGTCTACATCGATGATTTACAACAATGGAACTGATGATTATAGCATCCCGAACGAATGAGGAGGCTTAATGTAAACAGTAAGAAAGGCATTCTGCTGTACGGGCCGCCGGGTTGCTCTAAGACCCTAACTGTCAAAGCACTTGCTACAGAAGCGGGCCTGAACTTCATGGCCGTAAAAGGTGCTGAAATTCTAAGTATGTACGTTGGGGAGTCGGAACGGGCCCTACGGGATATTTTTCGAAAGGCACGATCTGCGAGGCCTAGTATTATCTTTTTTGACGAAATCGATGCAATTGCCTCGAAGCGCAGTAGTACGTCCCAAGGGGGTGTCAATGTGCTCACAACGTTATTGAACGAGATGGATGGAATTGAGGAGTTGAAGAGTGTCCTAGTCGTCGCCGCGACAAATAAACCGGAGGTAATTGACCCGGCTTTAATGCGCCCGGGCCGTTTGGACAATATCCTTTACATTGGACCTCCGGACTTTGAGGCGCGGAAAGAGATATTGAATATTTGGTGTAGTAAATCCGTTGTTCATCCCGGCGTAAGTTTGGAAGACCTGGCCTGGAAGACTGAAGGCTACTCGGGGGCGGAAATTGTGAGCATTTGCGAGACTGCCGGAGATGCCGCATTGGACGAGGAAGAGGAGACTGGTCAAGCACAAGATATTCGGTGGGAACATTTCGAACTTGCGCTCAAGCAAGTTAAGAGGCAGATCACGGACAGTGTTATCCAGCAGTACGAGCAATGGGGGGAATCAATTGAAATTTAGATTGTGTTTACCTTATTATATCATGATTTGGCCAGATTCATGGGCAATGATAAAGTGCGTGGAAGCAACAAGAAAAGGAAGGAAAGAAGAGAGAGAAAAAAGACAGCTGCTATATTTATATATTAGCTGATACTAAGGTCGTTAAGACGGGGGGTGAGAATTTGTAAAATTGAATGCTTTCCTGGAGCACTGATGGACAAACGTCCATCGATTTCATCGAAGGACAGAAGTCTGGCTCCAACCTCCATTTTCTCACGAAAACTTGACGCTCTGCAAAGTGGGGAATAGGTCCCGGGCCAATTGGAGCTTAATTGCCAGTCTAGCCAGGATCAGCTAGCTTTAGACATCACATCCATTAGCTCCCTGAATAATTATTCAAACATCGACACTGTTTGAACTCTTATACTACATTTTTACTACCCTCCAACCGTTAATTCTGAAGCAAACGGGGTCACTGACATAACAACAGTTATGTCCGCGATGGTTCGAGGTCGCTCGCCAAACCGCTCACCACTTGACCCAGATCCCGAGCAAGCTTCAACCCCAATGAGGCCCACGATGTCCCCTCGTTCAGAGTCCCGACCCGGCAGCGAGCGAAGCCCGTCCTTTGATCGTATCCGTCGCAACGGCTACCGCTCCAGAAGCCGGTCTCGCTCTGCTTCGCGATCGAGAATGCTGTCGAGAAGCCGAAGCCGAAGCTGGAGTAGTCGGAGTCGCAGTCGCAGTCGAGGTTCGCGACGGTGTAGAGACAGAAGTTACAGTGAAACTCCTAGCCCTTCAGATAGCCTACCAAGGAGCTCAAAAGTCTGTTATTGCTCACTGTTGTCCCGTTTGCGCTCTCTGTATCTGGAGCTTACATATCATAGATTGTTGTTGAAAAACTGACAAAAAATGTAACGGAGTCACACCTTCGAGAAATATTTGGGAGCTTTGGGAGTATAGAGAGCCTGGATCTTCCCATGAACAAAGCTTGTATGTATGGGTAGACTTCCTTATCGCTCTATCAGCCTCCTAACGCACTCTTTCAAGTCATGACAAACCGAGGCACAGCATATATACTTTACAACGATCCAGCGGATGCAGAAGCGGCTATTGCACACATGCACGAGGCCCAACTTGATGGGGCTGTACTTAATGTTTCTATTGTTCTTCCTCGGAGAGCATTTTCCCGGTCACCGCCACCCCAGAGCGGCAGGGTAAATCCCGGCCGTCAAAGGCACAGCCGTGGACAGCCATCGGACTCTCGTTATTCTCGCCCTTCTCCCTATCCTCCCAGATCGCCTCCCCACCAGAGAAGGTTCGGTCGCACTAGGCCCATGGAAAGGCATGATCTTTATCGCCCACGGACTTTATCTCGATCACGATCGCAACGTCGCTCTCGATCATCGGAACTCAGGTCAGCGTCTCCAACGAGGAGGAGGGGACAGCTGCGCTCTGGTAGCCCGCGACGTGGCAGGCGCCGTAGTCCTAGTTACAGCAGTTATGACTACAGCAGCCACAGTGACAGAAGTAGAAGTCCCAGCAGGAACAGAGGCCCTGGTCGATATGGTCCGCAAAGGAGGTGAATGGCATGAAGCAACAAGGCGAGGTTCCAACTTTCTACTCATTGGATTCTCCGCGGGTTATAGGGGATTGAGCAAGTATTGCAACCGTTGTATCTATGTAATAGTAGAAAGAGTCGGTTTAAGGGCTTTGTGCAGGGCATCGTTTGAGACAGTTCCTGCTTGACCAATATGATTTTACTCCTTACACACTAAAAGGGCACTATGCGAAGAGGTAGGAAGAAAATCTGAAATTTCTGCTTGTTAGGCTAAGTAGCTCTAGAAGAATGCGCACCAACCAATGTACATCGCGGCGAGATTCTTTTTATCGGTTGCTTGCACAATTAATTCGTCTACATGGCCATCCACCGACAATGGAACGGATTCCCCAGGTAGAAGACCACGGAGTTTGTTACGAACATTTTCAAGGACACCTGCAGGTGTCTCTGGAACACTAACATGGGTGCGTCGCTTCATTAACAAATTAGCATTGCGGTGGCACTTGAAGAATAAATGTGCTTACTTTCTTCCCAATGAAGTCTGTCGTTGGGTCATGCAGAAATGTCTCGAGTACAGTCATCAGCGCATCCTCATTTTGCCGGAGCAAACCAAGGGTTATTTCGCACGTCTTCCGGAACGGTCCTGTTTACAGGGTTAACCGTGGGTGATATCTGTTAACCATGGATTTGCTCTACACATACCGTCATACCCATAAGCTCCAAATGCGTCCACCATATTTTGAGTGAGACGAAACGGAACTAGTTCGGGTTTATCGAAAGTCAAGCCCTATATTAATTTTCTCTTAACGCAGGACAGAAAGACTAAAGAAATTCAAGTTCTCACCTTGTCAAAAAGGCAGTTGAAATCAACATGCAAAATACCGCCAGTGCCCTCCTCGAATAGAATATTTTCGCCATGTCGATCTCCGAGCCTTCGATGAATGGAAGTTTAGAGGAGAACATATGCATAACAAGTACAGGCTTACCCTAGAACGTATCCAACCATTGACATGACTGCACAGGACCGAGTATAGCGAAGCCTCGCTGCAAGCCATGTTCCAGACTCTGGAAACATCTCGACAAACCACTCATGTAGGACTGGGGGAAACCTACATTTACATTAGCCTTACTGCTCGCAATTGCAGGTCATATTGGGGACGTACTTTGGTAGAATCTTGGTAGTAAACAAAGGCAATTTCGAGACTTCGGAACATGCTTCATCGAGATATTGTCCGATTTCTGAGTACTGTGGAAAAGTAAGCTATTCAACCAGGTAGAGATGGTAAGGGGTTCCATAATATCTCCTACATTTGGCGCGATGCCCCGTTCCCTCAGCAGCTTGATAACAATATCCCTCAACGTTCGAAGATTATCAACCCATTCAATCAGTCCACATTCCTCATTCAAAGGTGTAACCGCATATGTTTGGATATCTTTTTTCATTCAGCTTCGACAACGCCTTCACGGCTGAGATGGGCACTTACACATGCGTCGTTTGCTTGATTCAACATCCCGTTTAAGGAATCTATTGATCATGTTGTTAAACTCCATGAGGCGCTGGTCTTTGCGGAGATCATCTTTGGGCTTGCAGAGGATATTGTAAATCCTTCCATCCGACCCTCGAACGCTGATCTTCCGTGGTTTCTGGAGCGAGTTCAGGACTTGAGCATCGTCAAGAACAGCTAAACAAAGTTAAGCGTGCACGTCGCACATATGTACCAGGGGAACAAAAACATGACAATATACCTTCAATAGTGGTTGGGTCTCTAGGGAAAGCCCTAAACCCCTTAAGGTACTCTGCATCATGGCTTGTCGGTAGAGTCGGAGTCAGCATTGCTTGAAATGGCACAACAAGTCGACAAGGGGCAACTTTGTGATTGAACCCTAGAGCCCGAGCTAGGTTGATTCTAGAGGCTTTCTCGACGCGCGCTACGCATAACTTTAGCATTTCTTCAGAGAACCTTTGCCCCTGATTTATCATCGCGCGCATATCTGACGGTGTTTCTGTCTTTAACTTCTTGTTTACTTCCTTGTACCTTGTTAGTGCCTAGCGAACCACTCGATCCATAGGAAACCATACCGTAATTTTTTGAAGACAGTTGATGCCCCTGGATGCCCTTTCTTTTGAAGACGACTTGACCACGGCAAGCACTATCCATAGCCCTTCTTGAGGAAAGAAGTTTACTGCCTTGGCGACTATCTTCGTTAACAGGTCATAGACAGTGGTGTTCGGATGGCAGATCCTTGCAACCACCTGAGGAAGAATTGTGAACAGCTGAAACTATTAGTGAATTTCCAAAGGCACTAAAACACTAGAAAATGCTCACCAGTGCAGCCGGCATCCGGTTGACGTATTTCTTTAATTGTGAATGCATATCATCCAGACTCTTTCTCCTTTGCTTCAGGGTGTGTGTTTGAAAGTCTCTGTGCCACAATTTAATTAGCAGCTCTTCATCACCCGAATAAAATCTGACCCTGCATAAAACCGAATAGATCGAAGGACAAATACTTTACTTACTCATTATTACCCCTCTTCGGATCAAAAGGCTGATCCACAGTAGACGCATGCTCCAGCCACAGGGTGAGAACCTTGGGCAATGACTGAAAAACGTATTTGTTCCCGTGTGCTAGCGATCGGAGATAATTGTCAATCACAAGTTTAGAAGCCTCACCGCTCAAACTAAGAATAGTTAGTATATAATAAAGAAGTCAGATGAGACATAGGGAGCAAGGGGACTCACTATATTTGTGCTTCTTTCCCTAGTGGCTTGGTTTTCTCCGAATCTAAGATCTTGTTGTAGTGCTTTCCTAGGTAATAATGGGCCTTTTCCCACCTGATAGTAGTTAGTACGGGGGCGGCCTTAGGAAAGATTGTCTGAGTACCTTGAATGTAGGTAGATGGCCTCTCGGTACCTCTGTACTATGACATCCGACTGTGTCTGCCCGGCTCTGTCTGTCCATTTCGCTAACAAAAGATGAGCCTGAGCCCCTTATATTAGTGATGATTTCCCGCACAATGTAAAAGAGATTGAGATATTACCCTGGCGGCAAGTAGGTTTTGGTGTTTTTCACGATTCGAGGTCAGATAGACAGAGTCAGAGCCATCAGACGTATTCTCTGGGGCAAACTCATTGGCAGCTATTGCGCACTCCAATGTTTGTATTGCTTTACGATGGTGACCATCCTTCCACAGAAGTCTAGCATGCTCAATAGTGGCTGACCTATTTTTCAAACCCGCCGCATGAAGCATCGACTGATATGCTTGGTTAGTGAAATTGCCCTTGCGCAAAAGGCGAGTACTGGCAAGCCAGGCATCAGCTATGTCTGAATTGGGGAATTTGCCCCTTGTACATGCGTTAGTGTTAGACTTTTATCCATTCAGAAAAAGTATGACGAGAGCAACATACGTTAATTCCATAATAGCTCTCCTTAGACCAAGAAGGTATTGCTTGTCAGATATATGCCCTCCTAGAATGTCTAAACGGCGGCTCAGAGAAGCGCGGATTTTGGGAAGCGTATCCTTCTCGCTTCGCAGGTCTAAGCCAGCTATAGATTCAATCTCTGCTAAGGCGTGCAGCCTAAGGATACTGTCATGACATGACTGCAATGATGCCACAGAATTGGCATTGAGTGATTTTGCAACACTGAGTCGCAGGCCACAGATAATATCCCCAAATCTATCATTACTTCCCTGACGAATGGCATCAAGCGCCAAGCCGACCCCGATGTTAAAATCCCCTGTTCCTTGTTGTGAGCAAAGCTGAAGATAACTGCGCAACTTCTCCCATTTTCCTGTGATCCAGGATGCCTCGATTGCAAAAGGGACAAACCTAGAGCCCGGGTCAGTCGTTCGGAGGATCTCAAATCGTGTAAGAATGGCATCTGTGTCTGATGTGAGCAAACTGCTAGGTTAATATTTTTTTGCCAAAATACCTTGTTGTCCTGATTCTTTAAGACATGTAAGAAGGTTCCACTGGGCATCGACATTGTTAGGCTCCTTCTCGAGTTGTAGCTCATACCAACTTTGTGCAGTAGCCCATCTTCCTGCCTTGCGATGTTCAAGCACTTGTTGGTCAATGTTTAGTGCATGAAGGTAATTTGATATGCCCTCAATGCCGTCTGGCTCATCGATTTGACTATATATATCTTGAAGACGCTGGAAAAGCGGTTCGATATCCTTAGAGTCTGTCTGTTTGTTCCTAGACTGACGAATATATTGTTCCCAGTGAAAAAGTGCTCTTGAGAATGATCTACACTCAACAGCCCTTTTAGAAATGACCTCGGGAGGTATAGAAGCTAGCAGGGCTTCAACAGCCTTAACTTGGGATGCATCTGCATCCAAACGTGAATCCGGGCAAGCCTCCCTGTGGGAGCGGCTTGAGTGATAGTTATGGCTCGTAAGACTGTTGAGCTGCTTTTTCTTCCCTTGTAGCCATCTCGAAAGGTAGTCAAGGATTTCGAAGATGCTCTATACATAGAGTAAGAAGAACTTAATTTAGTGCCCATAGACCTCTCCGATTTTCCGTACGGAGCACTTACCTGACTGCACAATAGAATAGCTTCGTATATATGGTTAGTGGAGTCTGGAAGTGGGTGAGATAGAACGCTTGTCAGTTCGTAAAGCAAATCTTCCTTTTCTTTCTGAGTGCCTCCAACTATACGGTTCAGCACCGCAAATGGCAGAAGAAAGGATGCTATAGATATGTCCTGGCCTTTTACAATGCGACTAGATACACTGAACACAAGCCTCGCATTGTCACCACTCCCCTTCTGCAGCAAATCCTGCACAAAAGTCCGCAGCCACTCACCATGCGTTAGAGTGACTGAGAATAATGGGTAAGTGCAGCTTGAGTTAACAGCGCCGACGGTGACCGTATACTTGGACGTGAGAAAGGGGGTCAAAGTGTTGCGAACCGTCTCAGGAAGCTCTGACCAACGTTCATACTTCTTATCTGCCTGAACATCGCGAGAGCGCTGAGTAACAGCTGAATCAAGACCACAGAATCTGAGTAAATTTTGCATAGCGTACGCAAGAAATCCCTGGGCCCTGGTATTAGATGCCGACAAAAACGCCTCGACAAGCACGTGTTGGAGAAAAAAAAGTATGAAGTCAAATGTCTCTTCCATGCTATCAAAATTTGATAAGACAAGTATATCTTTCTTTTCTTTGATTGAATCAACCCGATTTGGATCCAAGCAGCCGATAAGGCCTATGCACCGAGCTGATAGAAGAGTTATGACATCTGAACTTGTGTTGAACTTTACACAGCAGTCGAGCAAAGACCGAATTAACTGAGCAACAACAGGGTCTGGTTGTTCGCCAAGAACAGTGCGATGAATGAACTCATCGTGCTCTAAGAGGTACGGCACTAGCTCCGTTAGAGCTTGTTCGACGACAGTAGCGTTCTCACTTTGACAACGTCGGACAAATGCCAAGAACTGACTTCGAACGTCCATTCTTCCCTTCAAATCCATAAGTTCGGATTCAAATTTGGACATCTCTGGAATGGAAGCGAGCGATGGCATGGTGTTGTAAACATCATGCACTAGTTTACTGTGATTTCTCAGAATGTTCTCGACAAGTTCATAGGCACATTTTCTCGTATCCTCTGTAAACATGTCCCAATATCTGATCACAATTGATAACGTCTGGTCAAGAAGTGGTTCAATGTCTTCGTCATGCAAGGAGTTGACTAGTACTGCCCATACTGTGAAGGCATCGTTGCACAACTCCTCGATTTCGAGGGCGGACCGCAGGCAGGCACAGATCTTCACATTTTAGCATATATATCGTATTGAAAGAGCTGTAGTGACATTTCTAATATACTGACCTGGGGTATCGCACTACCCACATGTCCTTTCGCGACCTTGACCATCTCTCCAATAGCTATGATGTTTCTTCTTTTTTCAACCAAGGGTTGTCTGATTTGGAAATCGTTGATAGCATGGGCAAATTCGGTAATTATACCAAGAATATGCTCCTCAATGAAGTAGCCTACCAGGTTCGTTCTCCTTGATGCATGCCCTGACTTCCGTGGGACGAGGGCTGCTAGGAGTTGAAGCGCACGATAGAACTGCCTTTATCAGTTCCGAACACCAAAATAGTTAAGAGCAGATATATACCTACCCTTGCTCTTTTCTCATCCCCTGAATCCCCAAGACCCTTGAATAAATGACATGCAATCAGAATCGGTTCGATCCGTACAAGCTCCGCCAAGGTACGACCTTCAAAGGCAGTATCTATTTCTGACAAAGCAGACATTGCCATATCCTGTGGATTTGGCGACGCTTGACTTAACAAGAATGCCAGGATTGCTGCAAGGTTATTTTTCTCTGAACAGATATCGAAGGGGGTTTTAGCATCCTTATAAGTCGCCCCTATCCTAGCAATAATATCTCGCTTCCGTGTTAGCACTAGATGTGGTAGTACATATAGCTCAGTCAACCTGAGGAAATCGTCCACTTTCATTCCCAGCAGATCACAAAGGTGTTCTGCCATGTAAGGACGTGATTGGAAGTTTTTCATTATTGTCACGGAGAGAGTCCTCCAAAAAGGCCTGAACAAGCCTGCGGCAGTGACTGAAAGACGTTGTGCAAGTTTTGAAATCTAGTTATAGAATTTTGTCAGAGTGCTGCTTATAGTTGATATTAAAGCTTTCCCAGGAAAGTGATGCGGATCAGATTTACATACTTCAGTATACGCTACCGCACAAACGAAAGGATTCGGATGGCCTAGGTATTCAACTAGGCGAAGAAGAATAATGTTCAGCTCTTCATCATTGGAAAGTCTTAGCAATACATGGATGTTAGTCCATGCGACAAAACTGCGGAGAAGTTTGGTACATACGCTGCAAGGCGACAAAGTGTCAATATACATGTTTCATGCAATGACGATTCTTGTTTTTCTGAGAGGCTTTTTAACCATTCTAAGATGACAACAAAATTGCCGCGACGTGTTTTATTATCAAGGCTACTGCAAATAAAAGCGATTATTGAGTGCCTAGAGATATGTTAGTACCGCATGTTCAGAACAGTAGACCAACCGTACCCAGTGACAATCCGCAGCTCTCTGATGGAGCTTCGAAGGGAATGGAAGCAGAACTCGCCGAACACAGAAGAGGCTAGCTGCGAATAAGTCGAATCCGACGTATGCAGCAGTGTTCGTCTTAGCGTGACCATTGCGGCGATTCTGAGGCTTGTGGTACGTGGGAGTCTTGGAATAATGTAGGCCAAGATTTTGCAAAGTTCTTCAATGTTAGGACATTGTCTGCTCGACCCTACACCGTTTTCACCATCACACACATGGCAAAGTAGGGTACCATTCGATGCCATGCCACTTAATTGTTCTAGTTCCCTAGCCATAGCACACGGTATATTGCCGAGTGTGCTAAGAAGATCGCATTTCCTTTGTTCATCAAGGCTAACAAAAGCATCCCTGCTGCAACGTGAGTTAATCTTTCGAGTGTTATGACGTGCTATACCAACTTACACAACAGCCGGATACAGGTCACCCAAGCCGCCGGGGGATGTGAAACCTATCAATGCAAGTGAAACTGCTATAAGCTGCTGAACTGTGTCTCCAGACTCTGAGTGCGGGCTGGCTCGAGGCATACAGCGGCGTTTTGACGCCTGGAGAATCTCATCCTGAACCGCTGAGCTCGAGAGCTCATGTTGCTGAAAACGGGTGTCCGATTTCGATACAAATACTTCGGATGGCTCGAGGGAGACAGTTTTTGGCCCACCGCACTCTAGACTTATACGGGAGATAATATTGAGAAACCCACGGATCGCAATCTTCCGTAAAATAAGCCTAAGTCACACTATGATGAGTCTAACGACAACGGGACAATTACCTGAAGATGTGTCTCGAGAGTCTGGAAACGGCAAGACATCTTGGTAAGACCACTAAGTGCTGGAAAAATGGTAGTTCTGAGGCACTGGAAAAGCGCCCTGGTATACTTGACGCGGTTAGTGAAGGTGTCCAAAAGCTGGCTTAACTCACTCTGTAAAGTCGAGAATTGGCAGAGTGTGTCCATTGCAAAAATGTCCTCCAGGATTCGCAGCAAGCCGTACATTAGTTCGACTTCCGATGGTGAGGATACGCCCTGGTTGCAACATGATCGAATACATATCACGAACTGCAAACTTGCGCTTATTTTGTTTTCTATGAGATCTGGCTGCGGATTCTGGAGCCAGTGAAAAATGAGGGTCCAGAGCCGTTGGTACCCATTTAAAACCCAGGCTACATTCTGTCGAATAACGCAGTTCTTGCTTGCCACAAAAGGAGGGTTGTCATTCCCCGCTCTGAATGAATCGAGGAGGAGAAAAGTTAGATTGAAAGCGTGCGATAATGATACGAGCTTGAATTTCTTCTCGAAAAGACTGCGAGGTAGGCCGAGTCTGTCTAGATCTACAAGGAGATTTCCTCCTAGGGTCGGTAGAATGATCTTAACTTCGGAGTCAGCTCGCAGACTGAGGCTATTGAGATTCTCGAGAGAAAGCAAGACCTCTGAGGTTCGTTAGCCCAATATTCTTACCGACGGTCCCCAACGTACCCGTTGTACACGCTTGTAAAAGTCCAGCAGTGGAATGACAAGAGGGCCAAAGCCTAGAGTGCCTATTCTGAGCACAGACTATACTCGTAAGGATACCCCTAGCTTTCCAATTGATAACTTCATTGTTCCAAATACCGAGCAACTGGAGTAACCGTACAACCAACCAGGCGTACAGCGGCGCATACGTACTTTCCCCCAAAACAAGTGGATCAGGATATTCTGTTAGAGTTTGAGGTGCCTTCTCAATCGATACTAATACAATATCCAAACAATCCAAAACCTGACCTTGAGAATCAGGCTTTGGATCCTTAGTGCACGGCTCCAAGCCTGCTTTCAAAACGATGCATATCAATTTGCTGATATCTGTAACCTTGTCATCAAAATGGAGTTGGCTATGTGTGCCTCCTGTAAGTTCTTGACGAAGTAGGGAAAATGTCTCTTTGCTCAGGCTATGTGTCTGGTTCCCTTGAGAAGGGAGGCGCGGTGCTAACTGTGCTGCCAAGGTAATTGGGGGTTGCCAGCTGCCATTCCCTGGAGCTGAATATCGAGACGTCTCGATATCATCAGTCGCCATCTGGGGCACACCTAATCATTTTTTATGTTAATAGAAATCCCGAGTTAATGTTGAACTTTGGCGCTGATGAACAATGGATTTCTACCTGCTTCACGGGGTCGTGCCCCGGGTGTGACCCAATATCTGACCTAAAATTTACGATCTATGTATTTAACATGTATTACATGTATTGCAAAATTTCCTGACAGTCTTGGATGGACCTCATAACTTTGATGTACTTTACGTCTCCTTCTATATACTAGTACTGGTTTGCCTTTTTCTTGAGAGCAACTTCGAGTGCACTAAGCCACAGCTTTAAGCATACATTTATTGATATTTTGTATACGTTCGCTCCTCGGGGGACTGCCGGTGTCTACTGCGGGCTATGGAGGAAGACTCGAGACACGCTTACTTCATGAAGCAAGCTTTATTGATGGTAATGCTAGCCCCGGCTTCCTACACAATACTGAGCAGGTCAAGAGATGCTCACATTTCTTTAGGGAGAAAAAGCTCTCGAAGCAGGTGAAACTCCCGTTGGATGTGTCTTAGTATATGACAACCATATAGTCAGTTCTGGAATGAACGACACAAATAGGTCGCTGAATGTATGTTGCCCAACTTTCGTGAAAGTTCGTTTGTGAGGAAGCCAACTTGATTGTGGACCGTACTAGCAGAGCGAACCTCACCTTTCTTTTCTCCCATAAGGAGATAGCTGGGCCTCCAACATTATTGTGAAAGTCAACTGTAGAACTAAGTGTCCTGACTTATTCCATTAGGGTACAAGACACGCGGAGTTTATTGCTATCGAGCAGATGCTCAGAAGCTATCCCAAGTCCTTACTTCGTTCAACAAAACTCTATGTCACGGTCGAACCGTGTGTTATGTGTGCTTCTGCTCTGAGGCAGTACCGAATACAGGCTGTGTATTTTGGCTGCGGTAATGAACGTTTTGGGGGCACGGGAAGCATTCTCTCACTACACACCGAGTTCGTCACTCTCCAGCCTTGACTCTACTGAATTTCTAACACACATTAGTTTCTCAATAGACCCACCTTACCCAGTTTATGGTGGGTTGTTCAGTAAAGAAGCCGTAATGCTACTTCGAAGATTTTATATTCAAGAGAACGAGAGAGGCAAGTGATTGTCTGCCGTTGTTAAAGACCTGAAGCATTTATTGACTATATGGCAGCACCCAAGCCTCGCCCCAAGAAAAATAGAGAACTAAATACAAGATTTGAGGATGACACCTGAGAGCTACAACCTTACGGCCTTGGAGGTAGCAAGACTTGGAAGGCCACCGAAGTCACTAGAAAATGGCACTGGCACTGGCACTGTGGAAAAACTTATCGCTACCATGTGGCTTAGGAGGGCCATGGTTAAGAGGGAAAATGTGAAAGTTCTCATACGCTTATGTTATCCACATCAAACCCAAAGAATAAATATACCAGACCCCGCAAGTTACAGCTCAGCTTGATGATCCATACCAATAATATTTTCACGCAGAACCAGCCTTCGCCAAACGCTCCGCTTCGAGCTCACGCTCAGCTTGCTGATAGTACTTAGCTGTGTCCACGCCATGCTTTATAGAAGTTAGCCCGTGTATAAAAGGAAGATGGCAGAGCAGGAATGGGAAAGAGCCCGACCTGGTCATGGTTTACAATGTTGAACCAGGGAAGAACATGAATGAATAACTCTGAATACCGCGAGTTCCTGGCCGCAACTCCTTGCAGATAAGCAGACACCTTCGAGGTGCCATACAGAGATTCACCTCTCTTGACCTTGCCAACCATCTCTCTTGTATCCATCTCAACTTCCCTCGAATTCTCGGTGAAACCATAGAAGCGATCTGATAGCCATGTAAGCCAATGCTCCCCACCGTAGATGAACGCGACAATTGACATACTGCAAGATCTTTGGTAGAGCACATGGAGACCTCCAATAAGGCCGATTGCTGTTGCTAGCCGCATCACAGGGGCGAAACCTCCTCTGCCAACATGAGATGGGCTCACCCTTTCCATAGCCCAGAATGCTAGTGGTGAGGCGGCAGCTGCTCCACCAGCAACAGCATAATCAGAAGGTCTCGCATATCCAAAGACTCGTCTCAGGTGCCTGGAAGCAGTGAGCACTAGTTAATAATTCTATGATTTCAGCAATCCATACGGGTCGGAATCAATCAACTGCAAGCCGTAGTTAGCAAACGTTCATCCTAAGTTGGGGGAGCTCTCGCACCGGATAGTCGGAATTAGCCCGTTTTGGAGGGGCAAAAACCGTCTTGGGATCAGTGGCCATTGTGACCAAGTCGAATCAGAAGCAAGCTTGTAGTAGTCGTACTGTTAAAGACGACCTTGGTTGCGACGGAGGTGAACTCGGAGAGCACAAGTTGCGCCAAGAGTGGGTTCTTTCCGATTTTAGACTAGTGATACTGCTTCGGCTTACTAAGGAAAGGCATTGATACCTTGGGGCGAATCATCGATCAGTCCCTGTCGCCAAATAAACATAGTAACTGATTACTACTCAGCTTCGAAACTTGGAAGCCTTGAATATACGGAGTTGAGGTGGGCTGGACCTACTACTGTAATGTTAATTACCTGAGGTCATAGTCAAACCCAATGGCGTAAGGCAATACACATTTAAACTCCCAGCTATTGCATGTATAATGTATGGTCATATATGTGTATGTATACCTAAGATCCACCAGTGCGTTTTTTCCATTACCCTTTGTACCGTACAGTATTATGCACCTGGCTAAGGTACAGCCCGGCCATTCGGTGAACGCGTCCCGATGCCCACGCGCGTGGAAATGCTTCAAGGCATGCCAAAACACTTCCTCCACTAAAAGAAGAAAGAAACAAACAATTGTTTCCGCTAAAATTAGACAATGGAACAAGAAAGTCATATACAACAAGGCTTGCCCTCGCAAACTACGAACGATCTCTTTGACTACGATGTCGGCTTGGATGAGTTACTACAGCGCGCCCCAACCGCGTCAAGTATAAATGCACTCAGGCCATCTACTGTACCAGGCGATTCTGGGTTAGGTCTTGGGCTTGATGAAGAAGTTAAGGTTACTAGGAAACGACAGCCAGTCGCTAAACTAGATGAAACACGGTGAGTTGAGTCGGGTCACTCAATTAAATTGGCAAGCAGAAGTGGTCTAACTGCACCCCACTATAAGATTACTGTCTCAAGCTGGGATACCTAGGTTACGCCGCATGGCCAAACAGAATTTGAAGTTCAAAGGAAAAGGACATGAGGTCTGACACTTATCAGCTCTTGGCTGTCATATTTGCAGGGGCTGATTTTCTTACTACTAGTTTTCTGATGCGGCTCGCTTATTACAGTTCTATCAGTTGTGGCTTGATGATCTCTTCCCTCGTGCAAAGTTCGCCGATGGACTAATTATCATCGAAAAACTCGGCCACCATAAACGCCTACAATTTATGCGCAGAGAATGGATAGAAGACGAGAAACCAAGAGCCCGGTTAGATGACACAACACAAGATTTACAAGCAGATCGATTGAGCTTGCCGATTGCGGTTCCCACTAGAAGTCATCATGCTGTGGATGCGCATGTATTTTCATCTCATAGCGTTGGCCATGGCAAAGTCGATGAGGAACCATCGGCCGAACAATTAGATGCCCCTGCTCAGGGATCGTTCATGTCTCATGATGACAATAGCCACCGTGCGATCACACAAAACGTTCCTGAGGATGGTGACGAATTGGAAACCCTTTTAAGGGAGCAGCAGTGCGATTATGCTACAGATAAGAATCCCTCGACCTTTACTGATCTGGACGCCGACGGAGATGGATTCGAGGTCATGGAAGAATTAAACATCTTAACTCCGACATGAACTGCGCCGTTCTGTAATCATCAAGCGACAAAACTGCACATTCAGGTCCTAATGATATTGAATCTCTATCTAGGAATAGCGCTTCGTGTCATGGAGGCCGGTAAATTCAATGTACACATAGGATAGGCCACAATTCATAACGCGCTACGGATAACTAATAAAGAGAATTTGAATAATTCGAAATTTGACAGTAGTAAACAATTGCTTATTAGACACGAGTTGAAAGAGGGCACCGAAAAATTTGGCTGGAGGTGCAGGGAAGAGATGATGATATACAGCAGGTTGCGCAAGGCGCCAAAGCTTCCCAGTATCACTATATGCCGTATATGACGCAATAGGGAGACATTTAGCACCTCTCGGGGATTAGCGGCACAGTCGACCATCTCACACGGCCACTGGCCCAGTGAATACTGAAAACTGACCACCCGCGCCGGCCCAATTGAGCTTTTTTCCACGAACAGCGGTGTTTTCGACAATGGTTGCCACCTCAATATCATCCGAAGTGCCTTGACCTGTCTGATAGGTGGCGGAGAAACCCCAAGACCAAGGACGGCCATCTGTATCAATGGCGATCGAATGATCAGATCCAGCTGCCACAGTGCTTGCTTTAATTCCTGGAACAGGGGTAGGTTCGATCAAGATCCGCGGCCGCCCACGCTCATCTTTGATAACGGCTTCCTCAGCAAGTGTATCGACTTTCAAACCTGTCTGGAAACCATCTAACCGACCCCATACGAGGCATTGCTCGCCATCTGCAATAGCAATCGAGTGATGAGCACCACCACAAACTTGTCTAATATTCTTCCCTGACAATGAGTCCACAATGGTAGGATGAACAATAGCAGCCTCGTCATCACCAGCACCCGCCTGAATACCTGTCTCACCAAAGCTATTCAGGCCCCAGGCATAAACCTTTCCAGATTGATGAACAGCAAAAGAATGGAACGCGCCACTCCCGACATGTATAATGTTCTTAGGCAAGCCAAACTCGCGTGGCTGGAGGCCGTTCAATCTATTTCGCTCGATAATGCGACGTCCTAACTGGTTCTGTTGACCGGAACCCCAGGAGAAAACAGCGCCCCTCTCATCCAAGGCGAGGGCATGGTTATCGCCGCACACCAGATGCTTTATCTTTTTCAGAGAGGGAATTAGTGTTGGAGTCGGTTGAACTGTATGGGTACTATCGAACCCCAAAATACCATCGTTACTCTAAGCACCAAGTCAGCTAAGGTCTATAGAATGAGCAAATAACTTACTCTGAACGTGCCCCAGCCGTATACTTGGCCATCTTCTGTGAGAGCGAAACTCGAGCTATCCCCAGCAGCAACTTCAACGAAAACAGTACTTTCAGGGAAAGTATCAGAGGGAATAGCAGTCGGGGTCGACTCATATGGGTTGAGAGCCGGATCATCATCTGATTCTGAGTCGGCATCACTCTTGTTATCCTCAACCTCCTTGTAGCCTCCATCCCACGTGGTATCCCTTCCAAGCGCACCTTGGTCATTCACACCCCAGGTAAGGATCTTGTTGTCGTGGGTGAGAGCGACGCAGTGCATACCACCAACAGCGACCTGCACTACACCAACCTTATCTGCTGACAGGTAAGGATTAAGACGCGGCCGCTTTACATCGACAGCATTCCTTTCTGGTCCAAGACCAAGTTCACCTGAGCTGCCTTCACCACAAACGTAAACGTTAAGTCGAGTTGTCGGTGCATGGTTGATAACCACTTTCGGCTTCTGCTTTGTAACACGAGGTTCGACAACGCGTGCCTTTTTGGTTTCGCGAATAGGCTCCTCAACGGCTTCAGCTTTACGTTTTGGGGGTGCGGCGCGCGCAGCTTTGGTAGTCTTTGTGCGCGCATCGCCACCTTTAGACTTGGCTGCGCCGGCTTTCGCAGGCCGTTCCTTTGCTGCGGCTTTTGTGGCAGGAGCCTTATTTGTAGTTGTGGTGCTTTTGGGTGGCTTTGCAGAAGCCTTGGACGCGCTCTTTTTAGGCGGCATCCTTCGGTTTTAGGAGAGAAAAATAAATATGTAAGGGGAAAGGAGAATATATGGAACCAAGGAAATATATGGCGAAGGAAGAGAGGAATATCTTTATTGGGGGTGAGGAGAAGGTAAAGTATACAAAAGTAGAGCCGGCACTAGAGAAAGATAGAAACGCGACAAGACCCTCAATTCCTATTGTTGTTGTTTATTGTTGCTGCTGCTACTTAAGGTAGAAAAATGCCATTGATGCGCTAAACCCAAGTTGTTGTTATTCCGATGATCGGGAACTTTTTCTTGGTTTCTCTGGACCACACCACTCATGAGGGATTCTCATTGCCGTTGACTGGGGGTCGACGGCCACTGAAATTCATTAATTTGGACACAGTACGAAGTAGCATGTATCCGTTACTATGTACAGTGCGGGCAGCAGTTCAAAGATTCAAGCAGGCTGTGCCACTTTGACCCTTTTTCCTGTCCTCGACGAACTGATCCCCATATGTTCTTTACAAGGGCTGCCCGGGGTTCTTGCTCTTCCCCCCCCAAAAAAAACGGAAAACTTAAGGAATAATAGAGGTATATATATGCGTGTGTATATGTGATACAGATACTATTACTATCAAGTAAGCCACTCCTATTCAATTGCTGGAGATAGTTCCTATGCTAGGTATGACGACTGGTACAATTATCTACATGTCACAGGTTGTACTTACAATGTGTTCACATTAATGATGGTCTACTTAGCAAGATTGACTTCTCTCTGGGTATAGGTGATTCTGTGATAATAGACTACTGAATGAATTCGAGCAATAGTAGGCATTTGTTTGTACGTATATATATATATATTCGCTCTTTATTTTTTTTGGGCTTCAACTATTGTTCTGAGTGTTCTATCTCTTTGCTTTCTGAAAACGGACATGAATAATAAATAAAATCAAAAACAAACGAAAATAAAAGACAAAGGGAAGAGAGAGAGAGAGACGCCATCATGTTTGACTATTGCGGTATACTATGGTCTTGTACGATATGTTGGATTCTTTGAGTAGTTTAGAGGATGTTACAGATTTACAGTTTATGAATCTATATTCCCTTGCACTATTTAGATATAGAAAGATAGCAGAGCCACTATACGATAGATCTTGGCTACCAGTAATATAGAAACCCACCCCATTAATAAACTACACCAGGGAAGATCACTGCCCATATTTTGAAAGTTTCGTCCCTATCGAGCTATCGGCTGTCAGGCAGATGGGATCTTCAAGGGTACAGAGCTGAAAATGTCTCCGCTTTCAGATATACCGTATGTAGCTGTCGTTCTCAATCCACACGGGCAACGCAAGAAGAACACAGATAAAGTATACATAAGGTAATAAAACCCTCAGTTACTATACTGCGCCATACCTGACCCCAAGTACCCAACTAAAAGGTAGTTTCAAGACCCAATTCCGCACAAAATCCACGGAAAGACTAAAATATCCCTATTCTGTACTCCCAAACTCTGCCACCATTTGGTACTTGGCTTTATACATATAACCAGGCCCTGGGCTAGCACTTAGGTTCCACCCAGTGTACATCTAAACTGATGATCATCAGTCTCCCTAACAAGAGATTTGTCAGTACGGTACCTAGCATGCATGCGGCTTACATATAATTTGATACCTCCAACCAAAATCCCTGCTTTCTTGACCTAGCCTTTCCGAGCAGGAACCTTGTATCTATTAACATGTACCTATATAGGCCTGAGTGTACTCGGTGAGCCGCTAAGTAGTCTATGTAAGCTTGGGGCGCGGACTCATCTATATACAGGTAGCAAGTTTTACGGAGGATTGGAAAATTGTGCATAACTCATGAGTTCATACAAACATAGTTGACCATTAGTATCATTATCCCACGACGTTGAACCTCCGTTTCCAACATCTATCCATGCACAAGTGTTCTACACATTTGAATATAGGTAGCCAGTAGTTGTATTAACCCCCGAGGTAAGTTCTTAATGTTGATCCCATATAGGCATAGGTGTCACGAACCCGGGCTGTGAGTATTGGATTCACCAGCCTGAACAGTGGTTACAGCACGGATTCTTCCACACATTATAACATTTTGTCCGAGCGGCATCCATTTCACTTCCCTCGGGTTGAGGGCAGCATTGGGCTTTCCTTGTTCATCACGCTTTGAATCCGGACTTACTGGCACCCCGCCACTGCCCAGATATGTCGGCGCGACAGTTACAATGATAGAGTCAATGAATTCCGTATATTCGGGGTTCAACAGCTCGCTCAACACAGTCCCACCACCTTCAATCATCACACTTTTGACCCCCTCCGAAGCCAAGGCGCGTAGAATGGCTTCCCAGCGCAAACGCCAATTTTGATTATACTCCACTATTCGGAGAAAGTCACCTCCATACCCTTTCAGCATCATCAATTTCTGAGGGTGGATTTGGGCCCCTGGTGACACAACCACCCAGGGTGCCTTGCCTTTCCCTTCAACCGCTGTCCGCAGCATTCTGCATTCGGGATGAACGGGCCATCGCCCTGTTGGGTCGATTATGACCGGTCGCGGTTGCCACATTCGTCCAAGACCGCCAAACCCACCTGCACCCTCCAGCCTACAATTCAAGCCCGGGTTATCAGCCAGCACAGTCCCAACACCTATCAAAATAGCATCATGGCGCGACCTTAGGTAATGCGTCATCAGTTTTGCCTCCGGCCCAGAAAGCACCGTCTGCATTCCTGGGAGCAGTGATATTTTGGAATCCATCGAGGATGCATATGACAAAGTAACGTGCGGAAACAGACGTCTCTCGTCGTATCTTGGGAGATAAGGTTCGAGAAAATCTAAAGGAAACTGAGGAAATAGGAGTGTGTCTGGCGGTAAGGGTGAATCCAGATACGTCTTCGGTGGTGTTGAATTGGCTGATGCTTTACAGTTACCATCAGTAACCCTTATCCTCACAATGCCATGGCCCTTCTGGTATTCATATCCATCATGAGGTATGAGCCTAACCTCCGGGTTTTGTATTCGCCATTTCGCAGAGACATTGCGAACGTCCGTGACCGTGCAGAATTTTCCCCCTGCTTCGATAAGCTTCTCAAGTTCTTCCTGGAATTTCGTGTATATAGACGACGGCAAGTATCCCTTAATGGCCTCCTTACGAGCGAATTCCATAAGCCCCGAATTACGCTTCACCTTGTCAATGTAATCAAGGTCATGCGAGTGTATGGGGCTACTCCCAGGTGTCCTTGCGATAGTCACCGTTGAATAGGCTCCTTCAAAGCGCACAACTTTAATTTGAAAGTTGCAGATACCACCCTCACGTACCCTCTTTTTCCGAGGACGCTTACCCTCTGGTAGAGGCCGAGTCTCAGATGTGCGATGCGTTGGGCGCCGTAGACGACACATATAGTAGTCTGTTGTGCAGTGGCCTTCTTTGCTGGAGTTGGACCTTTGCTTAACCCACACATTATCGATGTATGGCCAGTATGTTTCAAATTCTTCGAGGCTAATCTCAATTGGATCTTTGCACTCAAACATTACTTGTCGTATTCTTGCGAGGTTTGGCGGGTTATTTATGAGGTTGTAACTAGTTGGAGTGCCCACATCCTTCGAGTTGTTAGCAGTGACACAGTTGCCATTCGACTCACTTGGTCCAACATGTCGTAAAGTAGCCTCATTCGCAGCTGCCCCCGCTTCATGAAAATTTGAAGCACTGCGGGACCTTGGGCTATCTTCAGACTCTAATGAGCTTGTTTGGTTGCCGGAATTGTTCGTTGCGGTGTGATGATTGCTCGCCTCCATCGTTTTCTCCGATATTGACTCCAGGGTAGGCGTTGCCAGTACCGTAGTTTCATTGTGTAAGGGATATACGTCGGATTCGGAGGATAATGAATTCGCGCTCGTGGTTAACACGTCCGAATGGTCATGGCTCATGTCGGGTGCTTAGGGATCGGCTCCTAGTAGTCAAAGACTGAGATGCATGTATAAAACCTCGGTTTGTGAGGGCCCCACATCGGTTGGCAATGAATTCAATTCATGATTAATCGATGGTATAAATACATACTTCGGTGGGGGGTTTAGGATTTGGAGAAATATAGATAAATTCGATGTTTCTTCTTAGTTTGCAATTGCCCGTTCAATGGTTTTCCATGCTAGATGTTAAGTGTCGATCTACATCGCCTTGATCCATCCGCCCTTTGCGGAACCTCGACGGCCCGGCGCGGAAAAAGTCCGCCCATAGGTTTACCCTCCGACATAGATGTCTATAGAACACCAACACTACCTACAATTTGCACATATAATAGTTCTGACCAATTGGCGCATAGCCTGTACGAGGAATGATAGTAGTAAAGTTAGGTAACATCAAGCATACACTGCTGCATAACAACTACCTAGTGGAATGATATTTAATATGCCCCGATTTCTGCTCCAGCACGGGCAAGCGTCTCGTAGACTCTGGGTGGCAATTTATACTTCACCATGCCAGAAAAGATCATAAGGTCTTTAGCCATTACCAGTAACTCATCAGCTAGGCTTTGTCTGATTTCATTTTCGTATGTTCCAGACCTCAGTCGTTCTCTTTCATGGCCAATACACGTGATGCTCCACATTACCACATGCCCAATATTGCGAGAGATTATCGTGGGAAAGGATGAGAATGCTTGAGCTGCGCTTCGGATATAGGGCACCGAGCCTCTAGCCCGAAGAGGAAGGATATTCAAGGCGTTGATGGCCTGCAATAATACTGTTAGAGACAAAAGCCCAGAGGGAAGGGGAAGAAAGTAGAAAAAAACAAGAGTCCATCAATTTGCCATGGGTGATGATACTTACATCCAGAGCTGGAGTCCATTTTCCTGCTTCAACCTCAGCTTTGGCTTCCATCATTTGAAGCAACAAACCACATGCATCACGGTTGACTGGGCGGATTCGCTGGTAGTACAGAGCATTCATGTTGTAAATGCTTATAATGTTTCTTGCCAGAGCCACTGGGTCTTCCACTGCCGTCAAGCTGAGGCTACTGCTAGGGTCCCTAAGAGCCTCCTGCTCTGAGGCTTGAGCATCTTGCTGTTTTGTCCGTGGTTGCAATGGCTGCAGCTTCAAGGAAGGACCGCCCAATTCGACAGCTACAGAATCAGATAGTGCTCTGTTGATGATATCAATCACGCGGTCGTAGTCTTCAGCGAGATGGTACAAGAGGACGGCATCCGTAATCAAGCCCTTGTCATCGGCCACAGCTGCCGCTTGTACAGTTATGGTTTTCAAAAACTCCTCTTGATCTACCAACTTGATCAAGCCAATCCGTTGCTCAATGAGCCCCTTGACTCTGGTTCCATCAGAACGTACATCCCCTAACAACCTGGCGAATTCCCGAGTCTCCAAGATATATTCGCGCAATGCTTCGTGACACACTGAGGCTTGTGACTTGCCTAAGGATCCTGGAAGGTCAGCGTTGAGGCAAAGTAAGGAGAAGTAATCAATTGCTGCTTCCACGAATCCAGTACGGAATTCCTTCGTGTATTGTATGACGAGATAACCGAAGTTAATCTGTGGATATTGTTTCACAGTGAATGACACTGCTTCTGTTAGCAAATATATGTATAGTCAAGGCAGAAAAAAGCGAAGTCCAATGTTACTTACAAATTTCTTCACCTGAAGTGTAAAAATCAGATACGCGCAGCAGGCCATAGTAGGCTAAAGCAATTGCAAAGTGCACTGCGCTGACTGGAGCGTAAGAACCGAGGTAGGAGACAGCTTGTTCAAACATTCCGCCCAGGATTTGTAGGAGGAAGAAAGTTCCATAGCCGCCAGGTCCCTCTTGGCCCTTCCCGAAAACTCGCTGCCCGATTTCAGCAATATCTGTCTGGATATCCTCTAGCCCAAAAACATCTCCTGCAACCTCTTCAGCACGATCATCTTCTCTAGCCAAGCTGAACTGCAGCCACATCCAGTCTTCAACACTTTGGTTTACACCTTCCAAGCGTCGGCGACTAAGGTCACAGCGTCCGATAATCTTGTAACAAGCCATCCGATAAGGATCGACAGTATTATCAGGAGCATTGCGTGATCGTTGTTGATATTCACCATTGATTTTTTGCTGTAGGTCCCTTGGTAAACGTCTATTCTGTGCGTAAGTTGTCATATAAGTCACGAATTTATGATCCAATGACCGGAACCCAGGATCTTGGCTAACATATTCTGCGGCCTCAGTAATGAACCCACACCGGAGAAGATAGAATATGAGGATCCAGCAATAATCCTGACCAACCATTTGCAGCTCTGTCCCGTCTGGAGCGAGATCCTTCCTGACCGCCCTAAGACGAATATAGGCGCGAATTTTATTGATCACAGTTGGTATTCCACCAAGTTGCGCTTCTCGAGGGTTTTTAGCAATCACACTTTCAACTTCATTATAGAATAGATTCTCAAGAAACGCCCTGGACCCATCCACAATCCTCTTCCTCAAACTAATAGCACGTCGCGAGGCGGGCGCTTCTTCCAGATAATCTTCAGAAAATTGGCGCTCCTTCAATGCACCCGGATCTGACGTGTTTACAATGTTTGGAGTTTCTTGGACAATGCTTATCAGCGCATGGTATGCGTCAAAGAGTTGCCGGGGAACCTTATGCCGTCAGCTGAGAACAAAAATTTCAATCAAGTCAACTTACATCGCCACCGACATGGCTTTCAACTTCGGAGAATTCGTGGAGGATAGGGAAAGTACGTGCTTGGAGCCTAGCGGAGTTTAACAATTGGACCTTATCCGCATAGCGGCCCATCTTTTCCCGTAAGAAATGGAGATCTGAAGACTGAGCGCCGGATGCCTCGCTTCGCTCCATCGGGGTTTCAAAGAATCGACGGCTCGCCGTTCCAGTGCCGGGTACACCAATAACCGATTTCTCCATACCAGAGCGCCCAAAGACACTCCTGTTGGTGACGCCTGGGGCGGTGTAGCTTGATGTGGCACCAACTTGTTTCGACTGTCGCACAGAACGGCCGAACGCGCCTCTTCCATCACCAGTATTTTCATCCTTCTGTGCTAAACCGAAATGCTGGAAAATTCTCCGACGCTGCTCTTCCCAATCTAATTCGACCTTTTCCTCCAAGAATATATCGAAATCTCTATGAATACGGGTAAGGCTCTCGGCGATCATTGCATGGCGGCCGCGTTGTTGTATATTGCGCAAAAACTTTTGATTGTCGGGGTCAAAGGTCTCCTGTTCTTTCGTAGGGCCTAATACCAAGGCTTGGGGGTCTAAAGCTTTAAGATCCCTCAAAGTATGTCCTGGTGAAACTCCAGACGCAGCAAGGAGATAGTGACTGTTGCGATTGAAAATTTAGTTATGTGGTAAAACCATAAAAGGTATATTAAATCTGATGAATATACGTACGCTTTACTGTTCTGTATATGCTGTGGACCCTTTGTTCCGCCAGTACCAAGTTCTCTTGCTTTTCTTCGGATATCATCGAGGCCCAATTGAAGACTAGGTAGCTCTTCGTAATTGCTGTTTCGTCCTACTGCAGAAAGCGGTCGTTTTTTACCACGCTCCAACAAGCTGTTGAAAAACGCAGGCTGCGTGGAGTGATTAGGAGGCCGTGAGAATTGGGTTATATTAGCCTGCACCTGGCTCTGCCCAAAATTTGAAGATGGGGTAGGCTGTTGCTGGGTTTGCGGCTGTGCGCTAAAAAGTGACCCGGTCGATTGACCCTGAGTAGAAGTATTCCCTACAGAATTCATTGAATTATTCGTCGTAAAGAGAGTTGATGGCTGTGTGGTGGCTCCCAGTGCACCCCCCCCAAATAAAGAATTTGAGCCTGTGGATGCCATTGAGCAATAAAAACAGCGGGAAGGAATGGTCCTTTAACAATCATAACAGTGTTGGGTTAGTAAATAAATCCTCTTTGATAAGAAAGTGGGGTAGAATGATACAAATGGCAGTGGATGAAAGGGAACGCTCACTGTTTAGTCACGCCAGGCAATCTTGGACATCAGAGTTGGTAGGCCTTCGCACTTGATGTTTATGAAACAGCTCTGCCACGAACTGTATTTCCAACACCAGCTTATCTCGGACTTTCTATTTCACCGAATGCTCAGTTCTCAAGTCCAGAGATTGCGTGCCTTAGGCTCACTATGAAAGAAAAGCCCTTTCTACAACGACGCAATCTAGGTTTAGTTACGAGCAGAATAGTACACCACTTCTTATCTTCTTGTCCTAGACTTACCTGCATTCTCATATTATTTTTGGCAATGCCCGTGTTCCAAAGCAAAACGTTCCGTCGTGCAACAACAGCTTCGTCTTCACTTGGGGAACGGATCGGCGAGACCTACCGTGCTAGATTGCCAAAGCATCCGTTTCTTCTCTTTGGATTACCCTTTGTTATGATAATAGTCGCGGGGTCATTTGCTTTGACCCCTGCTGCTGCCCTGAGATATGAACGGTACGATCGCAAGGTGCAGCAATTAAGCCAAGAGGAAGCAATGAATTTAGGGCTGAGAGGGCCAGACGGGGAAGAAGGAATCAGAAGGAACCCTCGAAGACGGATAATTGGAGATGAGAGGGAAGAGTACTATGTAAGTTAAAGTATTCAACTTGTCATTATTGAAGGGCACATCATTAACAAACTTTTACAGAGGCTCATGGCCAAAGATTTGGACAACTGGGAGCAGAAAAGGGTGCAAAGATTTAAGGGTGAGCCTGATGGGAGACTCTGAATAACTTGCTTTAAGTACTATAATATTACATATTCTGCATTCTGATTATCTCGCTTGTTGGGTGTTTAAGCATTTGTTCATTGCTCTGCAGCCGATCAGTTTGCTTCTGTTCCTATATAGATACCTTCCCTCCCCCTCTCCTTTCTCTCTCCCATTTACTCATGTGCTTAATTGCCAGACAGCCTTTGCGGGCCAAACTGTCATGTACACATAGCAACTGTTTCGAATCCACTCATTTAGTGATTTCCACTTATAGAGGGTCTGCCTCTTCTAATATAGCATATCCTTGTGTCAGCAGTCTCGGTAGTTCTGCAAGAGGCTCGGTATGAATAGGTTTGAAGGGTCCCCCACCATATGTTGCTACCTAGTTTTGTCCCCGCGTTGTAAGAGATATAACTAAAAGATCAGAAAAGTGAACCTATTGGGTTGAATTGCCTTGGCATTTATCCTTGTCCCTCTTGTCTTTCTCAACCCCTAAAGCCGAGAAATCAAGATGAAACATATTTGTAATGTTCACTAGTATTGTAGATATGACCGGATTGCAGAACCATCAGTGTCGAGGATTGAGTAGACCCACATGTTGGTGTCACATCCAAATAGGCAAAGTCCGCGGCGACATAGAAAATGAACAAACTACAACAACTGCAGTACAAAGTAGTAGAACTTAACTCCAAAGCGTACATTATCCTAGGTACCTACAGTGCTGTACTTTGCACTCTATTCATAACCAAAACAAATTATCTCTATTATATGAACTCTTTGCTTTGCTTCTTAGGTAACTTTCTCTGAAAAGTTGGGCTATTAAAAATACAACCCTTTTCAACTTCATATCCGCCGGGTGGTTTAGTTACGTGGAACAAACAGACAACCCACGAGATGGTTGGTATAGGCTCTGTTGATGTTTGTACTGCGGTAGCCTTAGCAACGGAGTATGCCATGGTACTCCAGAGTATGTACAATGATCACCATTGGAGTTACTAGTATAATACTTGCAACTATATATTGCATACGAACAATATCGTCAGCTACGACCGACGTGACTTAAGTCTAACTATGTACATAAAAAACATTATTAGAAAAAGCAGGTAACTGAGAATCTACCCTAAACTCCTCGCAATTCGGTTGCTATCACTAGTTAGTTAAACTGACAGAGGACTGTGACGACTTATCCAACATAGAATCATAATAGAGAGCAGGCTTAAGATTTTTCCACTCGGAAGATCCAGACCGGCCTCCTGCCTCATAAGTTTTGGCTTTTCTGCACACTTTCGCCGCTTCCCGGCCCTCTTCTACCCACCATCTACGTCATACCCAAAGAACGTCTTAGTTCCTTCAATTTTCTTCACCACTCATTCGCCCTACCTGAAATTTCTCGCTTATTGACCCGTTTCCCCCTTCGTGCTCAATGATGGTAGTGGACCAGTGATTGGTACTGTGTATCAGCCAAACCCCTCTCCTCCCCCCCACCTTTTCTTTCTAGGGCTTCGATTGGCTCAGAGACTCTGCCTGGAGTTGAGCGTGCGATCATTTTTTGGGCCCCCTTATGTGAGATGCGAGCCACAACCGCCGCTGTGGCCAGAACTTCATCCACCTCTAGTACCCAATCTTGTCGCCTTGTGTTCGAGGTAGACTACTAAGCCCCAGAAACCTAAGGTTATCCTTTTCTTTTTACTGTACTAATGATTCTTATCCACTTGTGACTCGACATTTTGGAAGATCGTCTACCTCATCCAACGTTGTCCCCATAAATCTCCGTTCAAGACCTGCTGGATCCATCGAGGATACCAACCCTTGCGCATAGACTAGTTGTGCAATTTAGCGTGTTCTTTACTATCAAACATCAACAGCACTCGGCTACGGTGCTAGTTAAATGTGATAGCACTTGGGATACCAGAGTGCAATTCTTCTAGGCTGATTAGTGCGGTTGGAGAAGTCCCCAGGAAAGTGCTCCGCTGCTGGGCGTTCCCATTAGGAAACCCGATTCATCTCGACATGGCAAGCGGGCTTTCCAACTAATTTGAGCACCCGAGCGTTATTGGAAAAGCAAGGGAAAGAACGTTGTGTATGTGAAGGAAATATGTCTGCTATGACGGGTCCGAGATCACCTACTTCTCCATGGCCTCAGGAGCCACCAAACCTACAAATTACAGGTCACCCTACCTCAGCAGCAATTTTTTCGTTGTGTGACTCTCATCAGTCTCCGCTCAACTCCAGCCTTAGTCCTCGCAATGCAGTCCCAGAACGTTCGGGTCCTAATTATTTCTCTATCAGCGTAGAGAGTTCCTCCACCCCGAGAAAGACTGGTGATACACTCTCTTATACCCAGTCCTCAATTCCTAGTCCGAAACCACACTTATTACCCACGAAGGCTGTGCTCGATGATTTTGCGAATCATATAGGAACTGGCTCAACCGTTGACGAACGCAGTGTGTCTGCGATCTACAGACGCTCTTTAAGCCGTGCCTTGCCGAAAAAGGATTCTATTCCTGACCGATCTGACACCTCTTCGAACGCAACTTCTGAAAATGGTCGCGCCGTTGCAGTTGAGCGCTGTGCTGAGTTACTTGAATCCTCACCCAATGATGTCATACTCTTAGATGTGCGGCCATATGCGCACTTTGCGAAAGGGAGCATCAAGGGATCATTGAACCTCTGCATACCAACGACTTTATTGAAGCGCCCTTCGTTTGATACACAAAAGTTGGCAAATACTTTCACAAACCACGTGGACAAGATGAATTTTGCGAGGTGGAAATATTGCCGTTATATCATCGTCTATGATGCAGGGACTTCTGACATGAAGGATGCGGGGCCTTTAGCCAATGTGCTGAAAAAGTTTACGACCGAAGGATGGAATGGAGATGGACTGATACTTAGGGGTGGGTTCGACTCATTTTCGAACCGATTTCCGACTCTCCTGCAACAGAAAAGTTCGCCTGCAAAACCGTCAAAAAAGCCAACTTCAATGCATATAGACCTACCATCTGTTGCCCCGATTGCTGGGGGCTGTGCTTTGCCTGATTCCTCACGTCCTACGATCCCCTTTTTTGGGAACATTAGGCAGCACATGGATCTTCTTGGTGGTGTCGGACAGATTCCTCTCCAGCTGCCTGAGAGTCTGACAGAATCGTTGAGGCAGTCACTTCCACCTTGGCTGCGGGAGGCGACAGATCCAGCAGACCAAGGCCGTGGTGTTTCAGAGAAATTCTTAGAACTCGAGAAGAAGGAACTAGAACGCATGAAACAAGCCCTGACTTATGACAAGCCTTCCGATACTTCAGCAGCCGGTGTTTTCCCAGCGAAATTCCGTGTCGCAGGTATAGAGAAAGGCACAAAGAACAGATATAACGACATCTATCCCTTTGACCACTCCCGAGTGAAGTTGCAGGATGTGCCGCCTGGGGGGTGTGATTACGTAAATGCAAACTTCATGAAAGCAGAGTATGGCAATAAATGCTACATAGCTACTCAAGCCCCTGTGCCCGATACATTTATTGTGAGTTCCACCGATCCCCAGCATCTAGTCTAGGCTATACTTGGTCTTTGCAAATCCTTCTATCAGTTCTGATATTGATTTGGCTTACGATGTCTTCAGGATTTCTGGCGTGTCATCTGGGAACAAGATGTCAGGCTCGTTGTTTCGTTGACGGCAGAGTTCGAAAGAGGCCAGATTAAATGCCACCCATATTGGGAGTCTGGGAAATATGGGCCTCTTCAGGTTAACAACTTTTCCCAGAAATACCTCGATATAGATTCTCCAGATTCGCAGCAAGTCGATTCTTCATTCAGAACAAACGAGGATTCCGGTAAACCTTATATAATTGTACGGCATTTTGGTTTGTCGCATTCGGCTTTTCCATTTCAGCCACTGCGTGAAGTGACGCAGTTGCAATATCCATGTTGGCCAGATTTTGGCACCACCTCACAGCCTGCCCATCTACTTAAGCTGATTGAACAGTGTGATAAAGTCAGAGGTGAAGCTCCCACTCGTGACGTAGGGGCAACTGGGCGGAGGCCAGTGTTGGTCCACTGCAGTGCGGGGTGTGGCCGTACGGGGACCTTCTGTACCGTTGATAGTGTGCTGGACATGCTAAAGCGAACACCCACAGAAGATACAGTACACTCGCGGAACTCTCAAACGGTTGATAATTTCTACCGCGACTGCGCGTACGATGGAAAACTGGACCTCATTGCCAAAACCGTAGCTGACTTTCGTACACAAAGACCTAGTATGGTCCAGAACTTGAGTCAGTTCGTCCTGTGCTATGAGAGCGTTCTAGAGTGGTTCGTTTCTCGGATGGAAAATGATGGAAAATAAAAGCTTGGGGCAGTACTAGTTATAAAGCTGGTCGCCTCACTCAAGTGTCAGACCTTTGGCTCGTCAGGCACGGTCTTGTTGGTTATGCCTGCTGTTCAGCATCTACACTTGTCTGGTCTCCCTTAATATATGGCATGTATACATAGACGCATTCTTGGGTGTTCGGCAGAGCACTTTATCTTGACTTTCCCTTCTACTTATTTCTTTGGGGATCAAGTCTCATTCGGTCTATCATGGAATTTGCTAAATAATTGGCTATTTACTCGTGTCACTCTGGCGAATTCATGGTCTCTCGTGACTATACGCCGGAGAGAGACGGCGGGCCATTCTCTTCCAGGTTTAAGCTAGAGATATCTATAAGGTGTGATGGAATGGCAAGGGCACATGATGTAGAAATTGTTTTAGGAGCATGGGATCTGTTCCTCGTGTGATACGAGAATAAAAATAAACTGTACCTGAGGAAAAGCCCAGTATGAGCAAAATAAGAATAGAATATAGGCACCGAAATCAAAAAGCCAAAGACCGCAACCTAAAAAATATAAAACTGAGTTTTTGCGTCCACTAAGAAGGTGGTATGAGTCTGGATATTCTAGGCATCATTAACTTCTGGATGGCTGCCTCCTCCTCATCCATCTTTTTTTTTTTTTTTTTTGAGTGGATTGCTATAGTTACTGGACGCTCAGGCAACCATATCTGGCGGTCGGCGACTGCCTGACTGACAGCTTCCAAATCGATTAAATCCCCACTTGCTCCTACTCACATCCGTGCTGATAATGAAAGAACCTCTTCATTTTGAGGCGGCATGTTCGTCTGCTTTCACTGGATGGCCTAACAGATCTGCATCCTTAGATGCTCATATATTTGCAAGTGCCAGATTTCACCAGCAAGCTTCAAATTAGATATTCTTCTGCTTGTTCCTTCCATCTTCAATTACTTAGGGCCTTCCGAACGAGTCATTGAAACCGGTGCCATGCTTCTAAAACTCCCCACAGAACTGATACAACTTATTTTTCAATACTCAACTACACCAGCCTTTCTGCAGGCAGCTTTCGCTTGTCGCACGCTCTATGCCATTGCCTCCAACTGCCGGGAGATTCTATTGCATCATCTGTACCAAACCCCTGGGGTGAATGAGGATCTTCCACCTGCCGACTCAAAGCAATTGTTCCGGGTGCTCCAAAAACGCGCGTCCCAGCAACTATATGGTGCCCAGTTCACTGCAAGTTGCACTCAGTTCCACTTTGGTTCGTTGGTCCTTGATGTCAAAGCCTCATCGCTGGCCCCCTCTGAGCACCAGATATTTGCGCTTGTCTATAAAGGACATGAGGACATTCAGCTTTTCCGCACCGAGAATGGCCAGCTTCAGCTTAAAGCTTGCTTGAAACCACACCGACTTCAGCCAGGAGTAGTCGAGGTTCTAAGGACAGCCTTTGATGCAGATGATGGCCTCTATGTCCTACAACGCTTTACACCTACGACTGAAGAAAGTCCAGACTCGGGGCATCCGTTCATCAAACAAGCATTCAAGTCCTATATTAAGGGGCAGGTCTATCTCATTCGCTATTCCCTCCAATCTCGACATGACCCCGTTCGCGTCTGTACGTTTCCAGACCATGCTGAGTATGAGCCTCTGGCTCTTGCCGCTGCCCATCGAGATACTTTTGCAATTTCCTGGCAGCATTCCCATGAAAGCGAAGAATATGAAGTAGTGCTTTATAATGCACAGAGCGCATCTAGCGCTCACAGCCTACCAAGCGTAATAGGTTCGTTTCCCAGTTCTATTACTAACTTACATTAGCAGAGATAGATCCTGACCAAATTCCAGATGTTGCCTACGATTCCTGTGTCCTTGTAGACTGGACCAAACAGCGTCAAAATGATGACATACATCCTCATGCAAGATTAGCCAATCCCCGTTTCAATTGTAAGAAAGGTCCTGTGATAGAGCTTGCATTCAACGATAGATCAACCCAAATACTCTATTACCACCGTGCCCAAACTTTATATGGGTCATTCCAAAACATCAAAAGAATCAATATGACTTCTTTCCCGGTCCAGCCTACATTATATCAGAACTCATCCCTGGTGCAGTTCTCGGGTTCTTTGCGTCTGCTCTTCTCAATCGCCATTCCCTTTTATGGGACACATGCAACGCGAGTGGAGGAAAACGGCCATTCCAGATGTCAGTGGAAATACCTTGCCTTCGGAGTAGCCACTCATCGCACGGAAGATTGGACTGTCGCATGCTTGTTGAAATCCGAAGCATTCTGCTCATCTGAACATTGTGGGCATGTTCTGAACCTCGAACGCGGGCGACGCTTTCTTAACTGGACAGTAGTTGCACGACTTTGGGGCTTTCAGGATTCGAATAATTCCCTCGGTTGTAAAGTCGCTACTTCAAAACATGGCACACGGATTGCTGTCGCTAACTGGAATGTCTTGTACATCTGGGCATTGCAGCCCAGTGCACTCATCGAACAAAATGCCAACGGATATTACCCGTCCTTGCTGCAGTCCCCCGGTTCGGCAATGGTCGAACTACGACCACTCGTTATCCCACTAGATGCAGTCTGCTTCGAATTACGTTTCACAGATGCGGAGGACGAATTGTTGGCTATTACAGACCGAGGGTTGATGTATTGGAATCTTGGCCCGCTAGGAAGAGGCCAAAGAATCACTGAAGAGCTACCCGCTTAGATGGGTGATTTGGGATGATTTAAGCGCGTCAGGGTTGTGGAAAAGCATAGCACGGGTCTTTGATGGTCTCGGATCACGTGTCATGATATGTACCTGATCTTACAGTGCTAATGTGGATGGGTCATGGTATCGACGAGCAATGCACTCATGTATTAGCTGCGATATCGTCAAAAATATCCATTAGGCGCAGAGAAAAATTTCTATAGTTTATGTTCCAATGAGATAATACAACTGCCGCACATTAATCCTTGATGTACTGTACTACCTGGCAAGCAGTTTATTTCAAAAGGTAGAAAGATATCTAACCTTCGACGCCTGCTAGTTAGTTAAAACACTATGGTACTTACGTAATAATGGCAAGAACCACCGTAGCAGAGGTATATTTTTCCCCTTTACAAAGTATACTTTCAACACGTAAGCGTCATGGGCAAAAGAAGCTATTTTGAGATGCATGTTCTCCAAGTCCATCGCTCACGCACAAGAGGCTACCTACAATCAATGCATGACTATCCCATCTTCGCTTTCTTCCCAGGACTGATCAACGACTCTCAATGTAGCAGCGAAGATTGTTGTATAAGGCAATGAGTTAAGGGGATCGCTTCCAGGATTATGGGATTCCGAAATAAATTTGAGTCTTGGTCAACTTACCACTCGGAGTTCTAGGACCATCAGGGTATCTACTAGAAATAGTGCGCGTGTCAAAGATTGCATATGGGTTTGTCCTAGGACCTTACGTGGTAATCTCCGATATGCTTCGACAGTTTTGGTCTGATCGTTCTCACTCTTTTTCACTCCTCCCCCCCTCACATTTAATGATAAGTTCTTAGGACAAATAATGGCGACTATGAGTGAATGACGGGGAAGAACCGGCCAAAAAGATCATTGTCCTTCTCCGCTACCAGACATAGCCAAAAATGTGATGATGAGGAAAACCCACCAATACCTGGTAGGATGCAAGATATGTCAGCATATTCTTGGTAGAAGAATAAATCTAGAATAGAAAAAGCGCATACTTTTGAAAGAATGTTTTCTCAGCGACATCTTCGAGGTTTGTGCCATCTGGACTGACAACAACAGGGCGATTAAGATGCGGCCGGGGTCCAGCTTCGAGGGGGATGAATTCCATAATAGAGCTTGTTGTGTTTGGTGCAATGGTAGACTCGAGCGATGATAATGTTAGGGCGACATGGTACACTTTCTTAGAAGAATCGAGATAAAGCTGAAGCATTGGCCTCTGTCCATCACTTCCTGCGATGGCAGACCAAGACGTGAGAGTCCCGGTCCATTGTTTCGGATCGATCCCGTTGGAGGAATATAGCCCAACACGCACTAGGTTTGGTGACTCAGTGTGCACCGTAATTGGAGGTGAGTAGGATATCACGTTGGACTCCAAAGTGGTTGGATCGTAGGAGACGCGGGCGAAGAGCGAAGGTTCAGAGGATGTTATGGGCCAATAGAGAATATCTGTTGAGATATTTTGAGAAGGGTATGGAGTAGTAGCCTGAGCGTATGAGTTGATGGCAGAAAGTATCGAAATTATGACGGTGGATGGGCGCATATTGAGGAGATCAATGATAACAGGAGGCGGAAGTAGAGGATGTCGTGGGCGTGGTTGCAAGTGTATGTATGTATCCACTTCTGTAAAAAAAAAAAAAATAAACCTTGGGGTGTGACCTGTACGGAAAGTACAGAAAGAGAAAGGGCCCATTCGATACATGTACTTACTATATCTATAATACAAGCAGTAGGTACTCTGTATATGTACTGTAATACCAGTTCTACAGAATATATATGCTGTATTGTATATACAGCACATAGGCATGGGTGTATGTATGTATGTACTTAATACCTACTTACCTACGGAGTAAGTGCTTGTTGAGCTGGCGGGGTCGGCTAATCCTGAATCCTGATATCTCAACAACTACTCCATAGAGATGGTAGCTACCTAAATGTAACGGCGGTATATTATATTATATATAGATGACTCCACGGCATTCTGGATCGTTGATCCAGAATTATATGATCTTTTGGCCTTGTGGAATATAGGGCCCTGGCTATATCTCTTACACTAAAACCAAATATTTAGGCTAATATACTGTTATAGATAGATATGCCAAACACAGAATACTCCCTATACTATATTCTATAAATTATCAGGTAATATAGCTTACACTGTATAATTACTTTCTGTAACTTATATAATATATTGCTGCCGTGGCTAGTTGTTAAGACTATAAACAGTGCAATTTTCCATGGAATAGAGATGGCCGCGCTGCTCACATGGCCAAGTGTAAGAGATCTCGCCAGGGTCCGATCTTCCACAAGACCAAAAGATCATATAATTCTGAATCGACGATTCAAATACCCTAGTCAGACCTACTATGTATATAGTTACACCAAGCTTTTACCAGTTACGTTACTATATATGGAGGTGTGCACCATAAGTCCAGTCCAGATGGGTCTCCAAGTCACGTGATACCGAGAACGATAATACTTTGCACATAGCTTGTTCAAGAAATTCTGTTGATATAATATCACATAATTTTAAGACCCATCTGGACTGAACTTATGGTGCACGCCCCCGTACATTTACTAGTAATGCCATTCCTACTAGTATTTAAGTAGTCTCATATCAATACCAGCCGTGTATACGGTATACCGCCTTTCTCTTAGGAGTACTCCGTCTTTACCTTTACAATGACCATTAGAGTCCATAATGTAGAGGAATTCCTTTTATCTCTCTATGACTTCACTACAAGGATACTGTACATACATAATACTTCAGGTATATACGGAGTATATCAGGAAGATCCGGCCCAAGACTATTAGGCTGATTCGGTCCATTCGGAACTTCTAGCTCCACAGTGTTGTTCTGTTTCTCCACATTAAATTGGCCTGAAGGGTCAGGTTAACAACTTCTGTGGTTTTTCCCCACAGTGCTTGGGATGATCCAAGTATACTCCGGACTCCGGAGTATGCTGTCATACTAGGTACTATAACTAGTACATCCCCTCATTTAAGCTTCAGCCGTCTTTTACAACCTTCGTTGTTTTGCTCCCCTTCCCTTTCACAACCCTCCCCCCCCTCCCAAAACACACACACATATATATGTTGAACTACAGGAAATCGAAGGAAGAAAAAGGGCACCAAACAGGGAAAAAAGGTGAAAAAAGTAAAGTAAAAATAACGCAAAAAAGACTATAAGAACTACTTTCATCCTCTCCTCTATATCTTTCCTAGTCTCACTCCCTGAAGTGCCACTCTTTTTTTCAGAAAAGGAAACAAGGGGAGAACCTTTTCCTGGTGAGCTCAACAAGCCTCCACAACCTGGTTCATCTGACGCCTCTGGTTAAGAAATTACTTTTGTCTTTGTCATACACTCAATATTTTCCTTTTTCTTGCCGTCACTTTCCTCTCTCACCATGTCCTCCATAGCACCTTCGATGCCTTACCGCCGACCATCGCGACAGGGCTCTAGACAGGCATCTAGAGATAGCCGAGACGACATTCACTTTCACATAGACCATTATATCGGCATCGACGTTGGGACCGGCAGTGCCCGTGCTTGTATCATCGACGGTAAAGGGGATATTGTTGGTTTGGCATCGGAGAATATTGGCCTTTGGCAGCCACAACAGGGATACTATGTCAGCTCTTTCCCCTCCCCTCTGCCTTTTAATTTCTCTTGCCACATGCTTTATACTATCGATGCTTAACTTATGACCTATGGGGTTTAATTAGGAGCAATCTACCAATGACATATGGAGGTGTATATGTGTTGCTGTCCAGCGCGCCATTAGCCAGCACAACATCGACCCAGAAACCGTACGTGGGATTGGGTTTGATGCAACATGTTCGTTGTCGGTGTTCTCCAACGTTACCGACGAACCCATATCTGTGACGGGGCCTAATTTCGATTCGGATCGTAATGTCATCCTTTGGCTAGATCATCGCCCGGTAGAGGAGACAGAAAAGGTTAACGCTACTAATCATAACCTGCTTCGTTACGTTGGTGGGAAAATGTCCATTGAAATGGAGATTCCCAAGGTCCTGTGGCTGAAAAATCATATGCCCAAAGAACTGTTCGACCAGTGCAAGTTTTATGACCTGGCGGATGCACTGACCCACATCGCTACTGGCAACGAGAAGAGAAGCTTCTGTAGCGTTGTTTGCAAGCAAGGCTACGTCCCTGTCGGGGTGGATGGAAGTGTCAAAGGTTGGCAAGAAGATTTTTTGGCCGAAATAGGCCTTGGGGACCTCACTCAAGAGAACTTCAAGCGGATGGGAGGTGTTGATGGGGTGGTGAGCCTTTTTCTTTGCTTCAGGTTTCTGCTGGATCATGTAATTTTATTGATGTTGACTGCTGACTGCTTCAGAACGGCGATTACCTAAGTGCTGGAGAACTGGCTGGAACTCTTTGTGAAAAGGCGGCTTCCGAACTGGGGTTACCCTCTGGTATTGCTATAGGGAGTGGAGTCATCGACGCATATGCAGGTTGGGTTGGTACTGTTGGTGCTAAAGTCGACCTTGGATCTGAACAGCTAAGCTCGAATGCCGCGAAGAACGATAAGACGCAAGCCTTTTCACGCCTAGCAGCCGTTGCCGGTACTTCGACCTGCCATCTTGCAATGTCTCCAAACCCTGTATTTGTCCCTGGTGTTTGGGGCCCCTATCGTGACACTATTCAACCGGGATATTGGATGGCTGAAGGCGGACAGTCCGCGACTGGGGAGCTCCTTAAATACGTCATTGAGACTCACCCAGCCTTTAATCAGGCGGTCTCGATCGCTGAATCCTACAATGCCAATATTTACGAATACTTGAACGAACACTTGAAGGAAATGGCTCACGAACAGCAAGCCCCAAGTGTGGCTTATCTGGCACGCCACTTTTTCTTCTACGGCGATCTATGGGGTAACCGTTCTCCGATTGCAGACTCGGGAATGACTGGCTCCGTGATTGGCCTTACATGTAATAAGTCTGTGGATGGGCTCGCTATCCATTATTATGCTACGCTCGAGTTTATTGCTTTGCAGACGCGCCACATCGTTGAGACCATGAACAAGGCTGGTCATAGCCTTACCTCCATCTTCATGTCGGGATCTCAGTGTCAGAATGAGATCTTGGTTGGCCTCATCGCGTCGGCTTGTGGCATGCCTGTCCTTACCCCCCGGTACATCCACGCTGCCGTCTGCCATGGTGCAGCTATGTTGGGTGCCAAGGCTGCCAGTGCTGATGCTGACGGCAAAACAGAAGATCTATGGGAGATAATGGATCGGATGAGTAAGCCGGGGAAGAAAGTTGTTCCGACAGACAATGCGACTGAGAAGGCCTTGCTTGATGTCAAATACAAGGTATTCTTAGAGCAATGTTATAAGCAACAGGAGTATCGGAGTCTTGTTGACAACGTTGTGAGCTCATGGAATTCTACTTGAAGCTGGCTTTTAAGTTCTATGGCCACTTGTGGTGCATTTATTACCTCTTTTGGTGACCTTTTGAAAAATACTGCTTAGTCTAACTTCTCTCAAGGTACACACAGTCCCTCCAAGTGGCTTACTGCATTGTGGGATCGATCAATGAACATGGATGGGGTTTCGTTATAGGTATAGCTATTTTGGGTTATAGTTACAGCCCAAAGTGCGATTGAAATGAACCCTCGAGTTGCTTTTACATATGTAAATACCCCTTGGTCTAAAAAAATAGTGAACCAAAATGGGTCCTTGGAAATCTTAGGATTAATTTCTGTGAACGCGGAACATCTACGTTGAAAGTAAATACTTTACAAAATTCAAGCGTCAAGGTTCAATCAAACGGATATCTGCATCCCTCAGAGCCCTGCGAAACAGCGCATTTGTTCACTTGAAGGATTTGCAATTAATAGGCCATACCACTCATTGATCTATCGAGAGTGAAATGTCTGGGAGGTGCCAAGCGCCAACGTGTCGAGGCGATCGACACCCATGACATCCATGTTGCTGTAGCCAGACAAGTAAAAACCAATCACAACGACAAGATATGTAAGGACAAGGATAGACCCTTTGAAGTAGTTGCTCTTTCCTTCACCGTGGACATACGACAAGAGAAAGACACAAAGTATTACTGAAACCATGTCCCATTGCGGGAAAATAAGGCTAGGAGCAATTTAGTTTCCCGTTAGATTTCTGATCCTTTCCTAGTAGTTTTAGGGATAGAGTTGAACATACTTGAAGGTGTGAGTTAGAAGTTCTGCTGGATCAATTAAGCGTTCATAAATAGCGCTGAACAGTACCAGAGCTGGAATCTGCAGAAGGCAAACCTGCAGGGCGTAGGCTGAGCCGATCTCCATCGACAAGGCTATATTGCCGTTCATGGCGAAAGAGATGGCGTTCTATAATATTAGAAGTGAGCTATTGCATTTATTGAATTTGGAGTTGACCGATCAGACATACCAAGAACTCCGTCGTGTTGGGGACTAGAGCAAATAGTGTGATTCCAAGGAACTTTTCATCAATGTCAACACTCTCCAGCACCACATCTACGGTGTTCACAAGAATTTCAGCAATAATTGCATAGAAAACGGTGGCTCCTAGAAGGATGATCGAGCTCCTAGCCTTGCTCCAGTTTGGTGCATCATGCCCGCCACTGGTTTGGCCGTTCTCGAGTCCAATATCATCAAGCTCCTCTACTACTGCCTTGATTGGGTCAGTGGATCCCCTGTTACTATGGCGTGCTGGGTTCTGTTGAACGGATAATTTTCGGGTTCGAGCTGCATCGCGGGCAGCAACTGCTGCAGCAGTTGCTGCAACTTCTGTTACCTGGCGCATCAGGTGCTCATTCTCTTCACCCGACAACCCCCCGAAACGGCTAAATCTCGAGTAATCCTCATCGCCCTCCCCATGCGGAGGGACAAGATAGGGCGTGTTCGTATCACGCGCCGAGCTTGACTCCGGCTGTTCTGCGCCGGACTCGATTGAATTTTCGGACAAGCCGATATGCTTCAGGGATTGTCCTAGAATACGTTTGTACAATTGAGAATCCCTAACGGACCCCTTTAAACCTGGACCAGAGTTTGCACCAGCAACTGCTGGTGGCCCGCTATGGACGAGGTGCCTTGGCTCGTAAGGACCGTGCTCCTGGACGACAGCCGCGGCTTTCTTCTCCTCAATTTCTGTAGCCCATATGAGGGCAGCGTGGGTTCTAAGCGTAAACCATAAACCAATGATATACGATAGAAACAGAAATAAAGCCGCAAACCATGAATAAGGCTTTACAGCCTTTCGAAAGAAGCTATCATTAACAGCAGGGACCTGAGAAAAGTAGCAACGACGGCAATCACTCCCCCCCGCATCTATAGTGTTGAAGCAGGGGCGACAGTTTAATTCGTGCTGAATGCCAGATGAGAAACAGTTTCCAAGCGAGTGAGTTGGGCGGAAACTTACGCTGCCATATATTTGATAGAACAGAGTGGGCCCGAAGGCAGCAATCACAGCGAACATAAGCATCGTAGAGGTAACACCGGCGGATTTAACATTAAACCTCTGTGTTTTACGCTTGATGGCTCCAAAGCACATAGATAATCCAGGGAGGAACAGGATGCCTGCGAAGATACTACCTATGATACTACCTTCAACAAGCTGGCCTTTACCCTCGGTTAAAGCAACGCAGTAGAGGTAGACTTCGACCACCGTTGAAAAGAAAGCGTTAACTGCAGCACCCATACCCATTGAGGATTGTGCGGAGATCGAAGCAACAGCCTGTCCAATGAAATAAGCAAGTGGGATGATGGAAACAAGGGCCAGGGTGAAAATTAAACCCGGGTGAGTCAAGGAGTTTTGAACACCTAGAGTTTTTTCCAGAAAGAAGTAGTCAAAAATCACAAACAGTACAACGCCGAGAAGATTGATCAAGAAGATGTTGGTGCCGCCAACCGTGTATTTCCAGTATCTTAATCCGGCGGCACGATAGGTGCATAAAAGAATAGATGAAGAGGAGTTTGGGCTCAGCCGTGTATATGAGGTATCGGAATGGTATGAAAGGGCGAGGGGATGGCGACGAAGATGATCAAATAATATAATGGTCACACGTCCCATTGGAATCCAGAAGACCAGCAACCAGCAGAGGAGAGATACTAATAGCATTAAAGGTCCCACGAGGAAATAAAAAAAGACAAAGAACACGACACGACCAAGGGTCCACTCGCCACGGCCAAACAAACGTCGTTTATGGCGACCTAGAGGACTATCGTGTGAGCTGGCTCTTTGTGTCCGTCCTAGCAGGCTGTCTTGTTCACTGGCAGAATCAATGCTATTTCTTCTTCTGCCCACGAGGGATCGGCCGCGGCGAGGGCCAAAGAACAGCCTTCCATGTTCTAGGTCACCGTTTTGCCATTGCTCATACTCGCTAATGCTGCGGCCTTCGCCTTCATCTTCCTCTGCATAATTCTCATCGGTGTCAAGGCGAACAAATGATCCGAACGGGTAGATAAGGTACCAAGAGAGGCCGGAGAAAACTTTCCCATATTCCACAGCACTTGGAGAGTACGCGAAGATGAAGCAGGCGACGGAGCCAATAAGTGCAGCCAAAGCAAGCCACCACCCGAAGAATGCCGTCCACAATAAGTTTGTTAGGAACAGCATGGTCCCCACTCGACCACCAGGTGACGAATGTATATCACCTTCAGCGGTCTTCTCTACTGAACGACTCTTTTTGTATAGGGCAGGTTTCCATAGCCTTATTCCAAAAGGGTGCGTTTCATTAATAGCCTGCTGCCGATCCTTCAATGTAAAGCTTTCCGCATCGCTGACGTCCTCCTCGTTATTATCGTTACTATTTTGGCTTCCGCCCTCAGAGTGCTGCGAAGAGGTGCCATTTCCGGCTCCTTCCAAGCTAGATGCTGGTAGAACGGTGGTTTCATTTTCATTATCCTCAGGATCTGTTCGTGTCAGGGGACTGATGCGAGCATTGATTCTTCGCCTGAGGCTCGAGCTTTGCTTTCGCAAGGGGCGCATCCTTGGTGAATTCTGAGGATTCGTAGCCTGTTGCTTAGCGATGTCTTCCTCAACTTCTTGGACATCGTCATCAGTAGAGAACTCTTGACCCTTATGGGGTATCGTCCGCTTAGAAGACATGCGACGTGTGACGGATGGTTTCCTTGGTTTATCGGATTGGGTTACCGTTGATGGCGATTGAGACGGAGGCATGCGGCTCGAGCTCTCCGGTCGACTTTCGTCCGGGCGTGAATCAGGTTCCTCCCTTTCTGAGGGTTCCAAAGTACCTACAAGAAATATGTAAGTGATATAGATTAGTAGCCCCAGCGACCATCACTAGAACGCACCATAGGTTCTTCGTTGCTGTCCCGTAACTCTTGACTGGCGGACGGTTCCAAACGGCATATTTTCATTGCTTAGATTTGACGGTAATCGTAGAGACGTTTCTGGTTGAAACGCAGGGGAGGAATTACCATCTCCTCCTTGATCTCCAGACATGGTGTCGTTTATTGCTCTTTATTCTTTCATAGGAGTGGTTGATTTTGTGAAATTTATCAGGTGTAGTATTTAGGAGGCTGGGGAAAGCGGAAGGGCAAGAGCTTACGGCAGTGGAATCAAAAATAAAAAATAAAAAAAAAAATAAAAATTCAAAAAAAAATCAAAAATCAAAAATAATAGGAAAAAGAGGAGCAAAGTGAAGGAAAAACAGTTCACGAATACAAATTCGTAGAGAAAAAGGGAGAAAGATTCTGGGGGCGGAAAAAGAAGTCGGCCAGGTGTCCGGCACTCAATAGAAAAAGAGACAATATCATCTGATGCCTGTCAAGAAACCAGAAAACATGTTGCAATCAGTGCCGAAAATGGATTTAGAGGTAGGCTACCAGATAAATGGGCGTTGGAGGGAAGCTCTATGAAGCTAGTTTCGATCATGAGATAAGACAAGAATTCCCAGTTTCATCCCCGCAAGTCAGCTGAGACCTTGACTGTAGGTCTCATACCTCGTCTAAGTGGTGAAGAGCAGGCAGACGATTCCTATTAATTATTCCACAAATATGTAGCTATCAAGATACGCTTTGACAGTTCAAGATGACTCCCTATACTTCCAAGTTTTGACCTCCTTCACTTACGAAACGTACCACACTATAAGGCCAGAATGATCATTACTACTAGATAGCTGGTAGCAAGGACCCCACATACACCAATCAAAGCTTTCTTTCGTACCCAGCCGCCACCGTAAGTTACTCCATAGGTACTAGTAGGTATGTAGTTACGGAGTACCGTACGGCGTACAGTGATTCCTGGCAGTATTGTGTAGCCTGGTAGCCTTAGGCATAAGCTTGTGGCTGACTGAGGCTCCGTGGCTAGTGCTCAAGCTACGTACCTCTTGCTCTCCGGCAACATCCACCACTTAACTTAACTATTGGGCGACAGTGCTTCATCCTTCCATCCAGAGTGCTCATCTGCTTTTCTTCCCGTGGTTAGGTTTCCATATCACATATAATTCTCTCTGTGCCACAGTGCGTTCCGAAATCTCATCTTCAAGATCGTTGGTTTCGTAAAACCAGTTTGATACCGAAGGAGCGTCATCACTATTGCCACAATGGCGCTCGATAATTATTATCACAATAAAATCGAGAGCATGAAGCTCGAGATAATTCAAGGGCAAGCGGTGCTGCGGAGATTGGAAGCACAGCGTAACGATTATAACTCGAGGGTGCGGTTACTTCGGGAGGAACTGGGTTTACTGCAACAGCCTGGCTCCTACGTCGGCGAGGTGGTCAAGGTGATGAGTACCAAAAAGGTACTCGTCAAAGTACATCCGGAAGGGAAATATGGTGAGTTTCATTGCCGCCTTTGCCTCGAATTTGTCATCCTGTAGCTGACTCGTTTGGCGTGCATCCAGTGGTGGATATTGCAGATGGTGTCGACATCAGCAAGCTGACTGTAGGCAAACGAGTCGCCCTACTTTCTGACTCTTACAAATTGGAAAAGATGCTACCCTCGTCCGTTGACCCCCTTGTGTCTCTTATGATGGTTGAGAAGGTTCCGGACAGCACGTACGACATGATTGGTGGTCTCGATCAACAAATCAAGGAAATCAAAGAAGTTATTGAACTTGGCCTGAAACATCCGGAACTGTTTGAATCTCTTGGTATCGCGCAACCGAAAGGTGTCCTTCTGTATGGGCCGCCGGGAACTGGTAAAACACTACTTGCTCGAGCAGTTGCCCACCATACGGATTGCCGATTCATTAGGGTCAGCGGTTCGGAATTAGTGCAGAAGTATATTGGTGAAGGTAGCCGTATGGTGCGCGAGCTATTTGTCATGGCTCGGGAGCACGCGCCGAGCATCATCTTCATGGATGAGATAGACAGCATTGGATCCAGCCGTATAGACTCAGCAGGCTCAGGCGATTCGGAGGTGCAGCGTACAATGTTGGAACTGCTCAATCAGTTGGACGGATTCGAACCCACAAAGAATATCAAAATTATCATGGCTACAAACCGGCTGGATATTCTCGATCCGGCCTTGTTGCGTCCGGGACGGATTGACCGGAAAATTGAATTCCCTCCGCCATCGTAAGCATTATTTCCCTAACTCTAGAGCATGTTCTCGGCAGAACGACTGGTAGTGTGTGCAGATGACTAACTCACCTTTCTTATTGACATTAGGGTCGAAGCTCGCGCTGATATTTTGCGAATTCACTCACGATCAATGAACCTTACGCGTGGTATCAATCTAACAAAGATTGCAGAAAAAATGAACGGGTGTTCTGGTGCAGAGTTAAAGGGTGTATGCACCGAGGCAGGCATGTACGCTCTTCGAGAGAGGCGGGTGCATGTTACGCAAGAAGACTTTGATCTGGCCACGGCCAAGATTCTCAACAAGCATGACGACAAGGAGGTTGCTGTTTCCAAGCTTTTCAAGTAGACATGGCACGACTGAAGAATGAAAGCGGCTTGATAATTGATCTGAGCTTATCGCACGAGCAAAAAGCATGTAACACAATATGCCGCCTGCTAGTATTGCTACCGTCTTGGTTCTATTGAACGAGTACTCAATCAGCAAAGTAGTACTACTGGCTGTTTTAGATACTGAAAACAAGGGTTCCATCACACTCTTCTCAATCTTTAGTGATATAGAGGCCAATCCAGTAAATCTCTATCCTTGTATCTAGTAGAGGTGGTTACCGGATGGCCTTCTCAACTTTCACCATATCTGATTTGGCCCATTAATGAGTAGTAATTGTGGACATGAGAATGTCTTCTGCATCATGACAACCCCCTACGCAAAAATAGAGATACCTTAAGGAGGCAGCCTCACCTCACCAAAGGTGAGGCAGTTTTTTAGCTTTTTCGTTTCCATTCCTATGTTCACCGCCTACTGATATCGCAAGTTGTCTCCTCGAAGGTTGGACGAATCTTTACGGCTTATTACAACGAAGCCGACCTGGTCAAAATGAAAATTATACATGTGGTATATACCAACAGCGACGCACAAAGTACTAACCCACAAGTGCTTGCCGAGTCTACTTAATCTACCTAATGGTACGGAGTACGGAGTATATATCTATCCTCTTATCTATCAAGATTGCTTAAATTACGTTAATCTACTTAATCTACCGGCATGCCTTCCTAGGCGAACTCGACTTATCGGACTGGTTAGTTAATATTTATTATTGGCTTAAGATGCTTCAGATGCTCGAAATACTGAAAATACTCGAAAGTCATACTAATAAAGAGAGATATGTAACTTTACATCGTGTATAGCTAGGATTACTTGGGAAGGCTTAGTAAAAAGTAAGAGTAACGTAACTGGTAAACGAGCTGCGCATGCAAGCCAGCTACACAGCTCTGTTTTCTATACAATCAACACATTTTTATACTTGAATACCTCAACAATGAGACACTGTAATGATATAAGAATTGAATATAGTATATAACTGTATTTAATCTTTTGTGTAGTTAAAGGAAGAAGCATATATAAGTAATAATAATTCAAGTATTCTATAATACAGCAGTATTTTTGGTACTTTTTATTTATAGTATAAATATATAAGAGAAAAATTTTAAAAAATCATTGATAGATTTATCCAGCATATTAGATATTATACATTAAGTATTATATCCTTACTATCTCTGATTGTTGAGATATTCGAGTATAAAAAAAAGTTTAATATGTATGGAAAACAGAGCTGCGCAGCTCGCTTGTATGCGCAGTTTGTTTACCAGTTATGTTAACTAATAACTATGCGTGGCCGCTGCTTAAACGCCAAGGCTTCAATAGATTTCATTGTGACCAGGTGGTTGATTAGTCCGCCATCCTTTTCCCACACCAGAGACTTGGCACAATGGCAAAAGCCTTGAATGGAAGTATGCCAAAATATCAAGACCAGCTCAGGCGAGCTGAATAGCCATTTAGTTGGGAGATTTATCAAGTATGATCTGCAAGGGATACCTTCTTTCCTTTTGGAATGCTACTAATTTCCTGTACGGTGCTCCATAATTGGGTCCTCATTAACCATACACTCCGTAAATCGTGTAGGATGAACAGAGCAGTCTCCGACTCTTGGTTGACTATTGTTTGCTACCAGTGCGGATAGTATAAGCACAGCGTCTTATAACTATGGTCATGGTCATTTTTGTGCTTATTGGTTGTCCATAGAAGAGGCCTCCCAGTGTTGAAAGGTTGGGCCAAGTTGGGGGTCGAGGTACGACTCAAGAACGTTACTACTTAGTTATCTTCCCACTCAACAAATAGGAAACTGGGGCAAGGGGGAGAAGTTTGTACGAAGAACAAACCAATTAATTTATCGATATGAAGAACTGGATGATCGCTTTCTTGGGTACTTCGGTTGACGCGTCGTGGGAAGAAGTTTGAAGTCCGCGTGACCAGCAGATCAGTCATCCCGTGCGGATCAGCCGATTATTGTTCTCCATGCCATTTTCTCAAGTATCCCATTCAGGGTCTCGACTTAAGTGGGGTAGTTCAGATCTGATGACCTTCAGTAGGGTGGATACTTCCAGACGGAAATAATCACAGAGTATAAACATCGATAGGAACAAACTGTACGGATACCCATGTACACACATCCGAGCAAAAAGGTACCATTTCGTACTAGATATCCTTGCCATACCCAGAACTGAGACTGAACTCCATCCTTTCATGGTGGCTTCTCCAGTGAGTACCTCAGAACTGCCAAACCATTCGTTCAGGGGGGTTAGGGGAGGAAGATAAATCTAGGACCCCAAATACTTATCTACAGCTCATAATCAGGGGCAACTTTGTTTTCCATGCTGCTTTGTTTTTCGTTCGATAGTTCAATGTCTCCTGCAGCGCTGTATTACCCACCTTTTTCGGGATGAGCTCATGTCTCCCTCCCTGGCCCACACTGGCGGTTGTGATATTGGTTGGTCGGTGATTGATTGACACGTCTCCCCATTCCAACACATTCATAATGTATTCTTCATATAAATCGACCCAGGTTATTCATTGAAGGGGAGACTTTGTAATTTTCAATCAACAAATCCTCGGTTGTATGTTCCTCTCTATGCTATCCCTATCTAGAACTACAAAGTCGAGAGCCAATCCGTCCACATATTTTAAATTGTTCCATCGGTTTTCTAGAATTCAATTATCTACTTGCCATCGGCTTCCGGTCCGAGCGGACTCCCCCGGACTTGCTCTTTTAGTTATTTCCGGTTCAACTGTGTTTATTGCCCGGTGTGCTTTCTAGGCCCTACTGCCGCTAACACCATATACTCGGTGTAGTTTAATTTGTTCGTTCAACCCAATTTATCCGGCTTACGCTTTTCATGGTTACTCGCCATCGGAACCCCGTTACACTCTGATTGACTCTTTCTTGTCACTAGATGTTTTAGATATACCCATATCCAGACCCGCATATGTAAAGTCTCAGCCAGCTGTCGCCTGCACCGCATCTCTGTCTATTCCAATAAGCGACGCACTCCACCTTCCCGGCCCTTTACTTTTCGTTTGTATTGAACTATGGCCCAAGGAGAGTTGTGGTCTACACTAGTCACTGCAATCGACCCGGGAAATATCAGAGCTATGCCGGCTGTCCTTCAGTCAACTATCGATCTGTTAGAGACTGAACTGGCCAGGGCCAGGGCCGCGCTCAAAGAAATCCAACCTGATTCTGCACCCATCTTGATACCCGGTGATGAACTTGCCGTTGGGGCGATTGCAGCTTATCGTCAAAATCTTATTGCACGAGCCTCAGACTTTTACTATGGCTCCCGCCGCCTGTCTCCCAAGGAGGTGGGACTAGTCCCTGTCATTCAAGAGGTACAATCAGGTGAAGAAGAGGATAAGGAGACACGGCAAAAACCTGATGGTATTATTATTGTGACGCCTCCCAAGCAAGTTTCCCTCCTGGACGTTCTCTCAAACAGCTTGATTCTCGATCATATGGCTCCGTACCTTTCAGTCCCAACACTGTTTGCCCTAGCCTCAACGTCGCACGTTCTTCGTACCACGATTATGGAAACTCCGTATATCTTTCGGCATCTAGATCTGACCCAATGTCCTCGGCACTGGCTTCCTAGTAAGTTATTAAGGAACTCGGAAGCCCGGATTAGTAGCAGTGAACGTCTGGAGAACCCCTCGACAGAAGATACACCCTATTTGGTCCCTCTTCAAAGAAGATTTGCTAGTCTGGGGCGGAGTTCTATCCTCCAAGATGTGCGAACTCTAATCTTGGATGGTCTTTCTGTTCCCGCAGATCTGGTTGCGGAACTTATCTTGACAGATCGTTTCAATGTAAACCTACTGTCAATAAGGGAATGTTGTGATCTAAATGAGCGCAAGTTGATACAAGTGCTTCAGCATGCTGTCCGGCCTTCGCGTCCCAAAGGGACCCCTCGGGTGAAAGGCATTTATTACTTTACCCCGGTGAGCCAGCCAAGAGCCATGATGCGAAGCCGCTACCGTGACTGGTGGAGTTCCAGATGTACTCTTCCAACGAGCAACGGAGCCCTGGAGCCGCCATCCTCCGATGACTCTCAGGAGAGCGCATTTTATTATCAGAATGCGTGGTATCGCCCCTCTGGAAAACTTATACCTCGCTCTATCGAGGAAGGCTGGGCCCATACCATTCAACAGTGCGAGGGTATCATTTCTTTTGACGCCGTACTGTGTCGTGGACCCCAGCATAATGTTGACCTCTACACATCGCTAGGACATAACGACGATGGGTATCGGCCCGAAGGTCAGCCACTCGGACCGGCAATTGCCACCGTCGCCCTAGGTCCCAGAGGGTGCGACGGTTGCCGTACTTCACCAGAAGGCCCAGCAGTCTGGGGTGAATCTCCGGAAAGGCAGTTTCCTTTGTTGGCCCCTCTCCCTTTGCATTCGTCATCTATAGCTGTGGCGAAGCGTCCAGTGCTCTTTCCTGATGCGCACCCTATCCTGGTTGCCCGTTGCGCTGAGTGCTTGAACGATCGCTGGTGTCGTCGGTGCAACAAATGGTTCTGCAAGAACTGCCTACCGAGTCCCGAACGGGCGAGGACTAACTTATCACCCCATCAAACTGCGGTCAGGGGGCCGCGAGCTAGCCAGGATACAAATTTATCCCACGAGCGAAGAGTACGCTTCTTAATGACTGATAAACCCAGTGTTATGAATAGCCACCACTGACGTGAATGTCACAGAGATTCCGACTTGGAGTGAGCAGAGACTGCTGGGAATGCGGGCCGACGGCAAGTGCTTCTCTTTTGCAATTTTTTTTTATTTTAGAATGATGGACGTCTCATAATAATCCGATGGGCTCTTACAGTGTGCTACCTGCAAAATTGAATGCCAACGGACGTGCCAGAATTGCCAAGGAGAATATTGTGTTGATCATAATGAAGGTTGCTCTCCAACAATGGTATACTACCGAACTACTTGTATGAGATTTAAGTCACATGGACTAACAAATGCCACTCTAGTGTGATTGGTGTAACACAAGTGCGCGTCATCAATTTAGGCAGCTCTATTAACATGCGGGTAAGTTAAATGGGCACTTCACGATATACCCAGGGAAAGCCCTATCGAGATACCATGAAGTGAATTATTGTTCACGTCTTTCCACATATGTCAAGGACTTTGTTCTTTTCCCAATTCCGATAGCTTTGTGAACCTTGTCCTTCCTTGACTTGAACAAGCAGGCTTGCTTGAAGCCAGCCGATACGCTCTTTTCCATCTGAATTACGGGATATCTTATGTCCTGGGAAACATGAAGCCAATGAAGTAATGTGGCTGTGCCGTTTATATCCACCAAATCTACTCTGTAGAAGTTGTCCACTAGCTTCAAGTTAAACGTGAGACCAAAGGCAGTCCTATTCTTAAGCTCTTTGTGACTTCCGTCCTTTCCTCGATCAATGATGGAATAGTCTTCAGATACGGTAAGCCATTGGTACTCCTCTAAGAGTGTTCTGGCTAGATGGCTGAATATCTAATCCATTCTTTTCCCTGTTTATTGATCAACCCCCTTCCTACAGCTATAGACTATAGTAGAAATAGACGATAGTACCCCTCTAGATTACTTGAGTACCCCAACGAATTCAACTCTGTCAGCAGGTAAAATCGACTAGTCAAACTTATGGCAGAGTGGCCATATTGGCTTGCCGTGACTAGAACCACATAGCAATTTCAGAAACTACTCGTAGAAGCCTTAGGTTTGGGTCGCCCATTTAGGGGCAAATGTGCGTCGTTGCCTAGTAAACCAGAGCGCTGGATTAGTACGGAACTAATAGGTGGAATGCCGAGCCACCCCCAAGTAATGATTCAGGTACTCCATCCATAACTTATACCAAACTGCATCCGCCAGAGATCCACAACAATAAGTATATAGAGTGTAGTCTTCTGGACATTTGACAATGTTCACTTTATGAGGGATTGTATCATTATTGAAGATATAGCCAACCGGTTGCTACAATATCGAATATGAGTAAGTACTTTCTACCAATGATGGAAGGTCAGAGAATATAGCCGCGGCCTCATTCCAGTAGCAATAGTACGGTTAGCACCACCGGCCTCTCCAGAGCTCACGTCACGCACCTTTTGCTCCAGGCATAGTGACTATGGGAGGACCGTTGATCGACACCGCGTAGCTGGTCATTCTCAGCGCTCCCGGGTGGCGGCTGGCTCGAGACAGGTGCGTAACCGGGCTTCTTCAAGTCAGGAGCTGCTTCACTGGTGACGGCTAGGCCCCGGGGAGAAGGAGGGGAAACTCCTTGCCGCTCAGCTATATGCCATTCAGGTGGCACAGGGCCTTGATCACGGGGCTCACGCTGAGATAACCTACCTCAGGGAGCATACCCACTCCAACAGCGACAGCGGGCTCGGATCAAAGACCATAAAAGCCGAGCTGTGAGGTAATATACATATTTCCGACTTGCCTACGTCACTGAACGCACGCTTTCTGATCCTGATGATGCGGTTGAACTGCGGTAGACACCCCAGCTATCATGCAAGAGGTCACCCACGAGCGGTTCAGGGACCTCAGTGTCCACGGCATGCCCCCTGGGTCGTTTTTATGGCTTCCTAGACGAAAATGGTATCGCATCGTGCGGATTTGGGGCTATGCAAAAGGTGTATCCTAAATTTGCAGGGAAATAGTGGTGCTTCTCCTACAAGCCAACGGTGGTGTAAACGGTGGCGCCAAGTAGTTGAACCTAAGTGATGTCGTGCAAACCTCAATTATGGGGGATTGTATAGCTGAAACCTGGCCATCTTTGTGGCTAGGAAATATATGTACCTGTATTAGCACGCGAGAGGTAGAATGAGGGCTACATTATGAAAGGTTCGTCATAAGGTCAAGAGAGAAGGTAAACTCCAAACTACCCTGTATATTGTATGTCTGCCCTGACTAGACTGGCTAACCCTGCTCTAGTAGGTGGATGACATAAGGAAAGGACACAGAAGCATTTGGGACTGATAAATTTGGTAGACAACAGCTAAGCTGATTATTCTAAGTCCCAATCTGACTCGGTGTACTAAGGTCAGTCAATTAAGGCGGCGGGGTCGCGTAGATTTATGACAAATGTTTTCGGAGTAAAAACTTTAAAAAATACTTGGGCGGTGAGGTGAGGGTAACTTCGAGAACAGCCGCGACGCCTCTTTTATCTCCGTATACTCCGTATCCACCGCTATCAAGAAAGCTTGCCCCGCCTATATAAGATGTTGCTAAACATCTCGGTCCTTTTACCTCATAGCCTCTGCTATAGTACCAATCAGAGCCATGTCTAAGGAATCGGATCTCATGCGTTGGTCCTCCCCATTCACGGTGACTGCGCCCCGTCATACGCCCAAGCTGCCTGGCGACAAAATCACTTTGCCCCAGTCCGCCCTCGAGCAGCTCCTCGCAGCTGCCCCGCTCCAGGAAATAATTACAAATAGTAGGCCTGTTCGCCCATATATTACGGCCTTTGACCCACCTAATCTGCGAACCTTTGCGACTGAGTCACGAGCTTCCGAACGTCAACATCAGTTACCGCATCCGCTAACATTCCGTATTGTTAACCCTAAGAATGGTCGTGCGATATACGCCGGGATACGTGAGTTCTCCGCCGAGGAGAATGAAGTTGGTCTTAGTGCTTTCTTGAGAGACGCCTTAGGGATTGAAGACGACCAATTCCCGTCGGAGACGAATAGATACGGGCAGACTTCGGAACCCTCGGAAACGATAGACGGCACTGCGGAACCGCAGCCTGCGTCTTTAGCCCCGGACCTAGCTCCTTTAGTCACAGTCCATGTTGAACAGTTGCCCAAAGGAACCTATGTTCGTCTCCGACCTCTCGAGGCTGGCTATGATCCAGAGGATTGGAAGGCTCTGCTTGAACGATACTTGCGAGATAACTTCACAACATTAAGTACGGGAGAGGTCTTGCAGGTTTTGGGGGGTCCGCACGAGTCGTTTAGATTCTTGGTGGACAAAATTGAGCCAGAAGGTGACGGCATCTGCATTGTTGATACAGACTTGGAGGTAGACATTGTGGCCCTAACCGAAGACCAAGCAAGAGAAACCTACCGGAGGCGGCTGGAGAAGGCATCTCGTGCCATTGGAACCCAAGGATGCTCTTCAACCGGCGGGGTACTTTCTATTGGAGAGAAAGTGCATGGCCTGGTAGTTCCAGGTGCATACGTTGACTACGAAATCCGCGAGTGGGATCGTGGAGATCCTGTTATTATCACAGTCGAAGGTGCAGGTGATGCCGACGTCTCCCTTTTTGTCAGCCCCCTTACCCCTCGCCAGAGGAACCGCCCTAGAGAAGACCAGCACCTTTTGAGTGACCTCACTACCCAACCGATCAAGCAAGTTCGGATTGAGTCCACTAATGTAGAGCTGGAAGCGGCAGAGGCTCTCTATATATCGGTTCATTCATTTGCCCATCTTGAATACAGCGGGGAGCATCCACAGAACCAAGAGCTACCGCTGCAGTACGAGTTGCAGATCTCAACTAGTCAGTCAGTTGGCTTCGACGGAGATTCGAAGGAGACATTAGCGCATGGTAATCCGAATGACATTCAATGTGGCAATTGCCAACAATGGGTGCCTCAGCGAACGTTAGTGCTGCACGAAAGCTTTTGCCTTCGGAACAATGTACTTTGCCCTCAGTGCCAAAATGTATTTCAAAAAAGGTCATCTGAATGGCAGAACCATTGGCATTGTCCTAATGACTCATCTTATGGCAATGATGTCTCAAGTAAGCGCAAGCATGACGTTATCTTCCACTCCCAGCGGTCATGTCGCGCTTGTGGGCTCGAGATGGAGGGCCTTCCGCGACTCGCTCATCACCGCATAACTGACTGTCCAGAAAAACCAATTTTATGCCAATTTTGTCATCTTGTAGTCCCCCAAAAAGGCGAGACAGACCCCGATATGCACGACCCAGAAGTCCTGGTCTCTGGACTCACTCCGCATGAACTAGTTGACGGTAGTCGCACAACGGAGTGTCACCTATGTAACAAGATTGTTCGACTGCGTGACATGAATACTCATTTGCGTCATCACGACCTGGAACGCTTGTCCAAACCCCCACCGCGTGTTTGCTTGAACCAAAATTGTGGCCGTACACTTGATGGACGCAGTGTACAAAGTGCAGCCACGCCAGGCACTGATACATTAGGCCTCTGCAGTTTGTGCTTCGGATCACTATATGTGGATACGTATGACCCTGAAGGAAAGGCACTCCGCCGTCGCATCGAGCGTCGATACCTTTCGCAAATGATGACCGGGTGTGGGAAGCCCTGGTGTCAAAATGAGTATTGCAAGAATGGGAGACGGGCCAGACAGCCTTCTTCCATACCAATGAATGATCTTCCCCTAGAATCGATGAGCGTAGCAAAGATTCTAGCCACAATCAAACCCTTCGTCGACGCCATATGTCTGCAAAGCGGTAATCTAAACACCGCACCGTTTTACTTTTGCACAGACCAAGTAGGCCAGCAGCGCCGCGTACTCGCGGAGATGATAGCGGCCGAAGGTTCCGTGGCTAGTGGCAAAGGTTATGATTTACCATGGTGTGTGGCATCCGTTGAAGCCACGGGAGGGGATCTCAGCAAAGCACGGGAGTGGTTAGAGAACTGGGCACCTGCGAAAAATGAGGAAACTAGTGTTCTATGTTAGTGCTTAAAGAAATTGACAATCTCCATACTAATGCTGAGGCTTTTACCTAATTATGTATAGAATAGATGTTAGAAAAGTCAGGTGATGGAAGTCCGCTCGGGTAAATTGTTTATCTATCCTACATATGCCATTAAATTCACGCTCGGCCCGGGCGGAATTTACGTAGACTATTCAGTTTGGGGCGTATACTTATTTTGTTGCGTTCCTCAATTGTAAGCAAGTAGCTCTCGTTGGCTGGAGTGATAGACACAATGCCTGTAGACACGAGTGTAGAGACCATTAATTCATAATATTCGTACATATTAATATAATATGACCGAGATCCTATATTGTCTACGCAGAACCAAGAGCGTTTACAAGACATATCACATTGGATTCAAGAGAAAGCTTCAATATCAAGTCGCACCCGTCTTTGCAGCCAAAGTCCCACTTCCGCGTGAAGAGAAGATTCCCATGATCCCGAAGACGACGTAAAACAGCGCCAATGGATACGCTACTAAGCCTCTCATCCCACGCATCCGTGCAACCGCGCAAAACATTCCCGAGGAGCTGTATGTACACCACCCTACGGCAGCTGTCGTCAACAGGTACCCGAACATAGTGTCCATAGGGATCATTATCCCAACAAGGTTAGTGAGCACAAGCGGTAGGAAACAGTAGCCCAGAACACTAGCAGAGCGAGGGAATGTCAATGTGGCCGAGAAATGACCGGCAGCTGAGGCTTCGGAATACGAAGCTTTGTGGTGAGGATCGTAGTTGGCCGGGTCCGCAGAATTGGGCGCTGGGGAGGTATCGAGAGCCGGAGACATAAGACTAAGAATCAGATGTAGAGCAACGGTGCCGAAAACTGCAACACCGTATATATAGCCGTAAAAGACTTTACCAGAAAGGAGGAGGAACGTTCCGTAGAGGACGATGTAAAGCAGTGCTCCATAGAGATCGCTATCATCCATGAGGTGCTGGTCGATCCGAGCGAAAGGATTGAGCACTGTCAAAGTCTGCAAGATATAAGTTGATGCCACTACGATGAAGGATAACAACAAGGGGAACCAACCTTAGTCCTGATATGTTC